TGAAATTGCGTGTCAAAAGCGCTTCATTTTCTACAGATAACGGCCAAACAACAACATTGTCCATTTTTTACTGTTTCTAACAATAAAAACATTATCGCAAAATATCTCGATAACGCTCTTACAGATTTCGCTTAAACTTCACGAACATCGAGGCTGCTATTGGAGGAAAAAGCTCCCGTGAATGCTTTTCGAAGAACAGTTCCCAGTGCCGAGATATACTGCTGCAAGTAAAATAGGCAATAGCGTCGTTTTGTTGCTATGACAACTCCGATGCCGTTGCAACACTGATCATAACAAATTTTCATCATTATCTAATACAACTGTGGTGGCAATTTTTCCAAAACTTTGTTTTTGGCGACGTAGTTTATGCTCACACTTGAGAGGTATTGACCCCGAAAAACTGTATCGAGCCACCTTAATAGCCGGCTTCTCGGTGTTTGCTCGCTCTTTGTCAAGATGAACTCGAGGAAAGAAAATCGCTCAGAGCTTTCTGTTTACAGCCAAAATCATAACTAAATATTCTTCGGAACCTTTTCTTTGAATTCGCGCTCAAAAAATGTCTAAAGGCTTTTTAGACCTGATACTATTGTAGGTTACATCATTGCTCGTGTATAAACTTAAGCCGCATAAACCATACGCTTGACTTCAGGAAACCGAAAAAAAAAAAAACACATCAAAGACAATAACTGCTCAGGTTTACCAGTCGAGATGCTGCTTCTAAAGGTCATCAACTGTTCCAGAATCACTCGAAAATTTTCAACCCTCTTACGCCTCAAGCAAGGGCAAGATTTTTGAAAACGATGTCATCCGAAATCGGATTTCCAATGACTTTGACAAGAGGTGCATTTGTCAACAAAAAGCGCAATAAACAAGCCAGCCATGAATTACAGAACAATCGTGATAGCAGCTGTATTACATTTTGTACATCAAGTAAAAAAAGACAGTTTAAAACATCACAAGATGACACAAAACTCTGTCAGCTTCAGCTATCAGTAAGCAAGTTTCCAGACGCTGCATAAATTTTCCTCATGAACTCACCTGTCAAATTTTGACCAATCAGAACATAAAAATTGGACGTAGAGCGTGATCAACGCGTGACAGTGAGAAAAGTCAAAAGTGACTGCCTTCCCTGCATCTAAAAGCCGGTTAAATTTTCGCGTCCGAGGTCAGTTCAAAATGAAAATTTTAAAAGTACGGCTCATGAACATGCCTTATTTCATATGCATTTTAAAAATATTGAACTTGAGCCTGCAATCATTTGAAAAGTAGCAACTTGTCAGTGGATAACTTCAAAAAAACACTGTGGGTCGATACCTGAGCCCACGATACGGTCAGGCGCTACTGGTCAGCAGAAACACTATTTTGACAGCTGTCAATTAATCAAAACATGGATGTACAATATCAGGTTGCAGGCTCCCAAACTAGCTAGAAAGTGTGAGATGAAATGTTGGTATGCCTGTGGTGCAGACGGACGGAAGGTCGGGTGGTTGGTGTATGGTCACGTGATTGCCGAATTTTCTAGGATGGATAGATTTTATAAGCTATGGGGCTTCGAATTGAGCCCGTGATCAATCAGCGGAAAACTTTAAGAACTACGTGACCTCAATGGATAGAAAAATGAGCCCGCGATACAGTCAGGTGATGATGGTCAGCGTATACTCTAGTTTGACCGCTGTCAATTAACCTTCATTAGAATGGCCAATATTCGAATTAACAGACTACGAGTGTGAGTAAAAATCTGTCTGGCTTGTAGTGGAAAATGCCAGATCCTGTACCCGAGCGAACCTGAGCCCACGTTATTAGTTTTCTGATAGTGGTCTACACATGTCCCATTTTGACAGCTGTCAATTGACCTTAATTTGGCTTGCCAATATAACTTTAAATGACTGTCAGCCGACTGACAGCCCTGCCCGGCGTAGTTTCGTTTTTATGTTGAATTGGTAAGTGTGACAATTTATTATTATATCAGCTTATATGTAGGGGCAAAACGACTGGTCTTTCATCTGAGCCCACAAGATGGTCATGTGATAATTGTCAGCGGATGTCTGCTTTTAACAGCTGTCAATCTAATTGTACTCAAACGGATGGCTTACATAACTGAAAGGCTAGTCAAGTTGTGCAAGATCTATTGTGACATTTGACATCGGCTTACATGAAGTGTGTGTACGGTGTGGGTGGGCTTGCAGGCGGGTAGACGTCATAACCAAATTTTCTTGGACAGATAGTTTACCAAATTTTGTTACCCATGGTGCTCCACTGCGCGCGCTTCATGCGCTTGAGAGCTCCGCTATTAAATTTCTCATACAAACTTAAGTCTATAAGTCGTTCATAATATGCAAAACAGTATCAAAACACGCAGTAATTTATGCACCCACCTGAAATGTAAACATTCCAGCTATATTAAAGGTTAAAGTTTATTGTTATATAAAAACTATGAATTAAATAATTGCGGCAGGCAGTGACCAATTTGGAAAAAGCCTTAGAATAAGTTATAAGTGCAAAAATGCACATGAATAAATGATTATAAATAAAAATATATCAAAGACAAAATTAACTAGTTGAAGCACCGGCACACTTATTTCTCTAATTGAATTGTAGATTGCCTGTCTTAAATTAAGACAGGAAGAAATGACTATAATTTTATGGACTGCACATTCTTTGAAGAGGAGTTGCTGAATTGATAAATTCCTCAGTGGCAAGGATTTTATGAAGTCTTGCGTGCACGAGTTAACATGTACACAAAGGTAAAACCTAACATGCCTACACTATAAAATAGAAATTTCCCACAGCAGAAAATGATCTTGTGCTATAATGAACATATTTTGCATGTCAGGAAGGAATAAAAACACCAAAAGGTTTCCAGTGTTACCTTAAACATCATGCATGAAGAGCCCGAGACTGTTTTAAATGTAAGATAGTTGCTAAAAAAAAGAATAAAATGTTCTCTATACAGGAGAAAATGAATTAGGCATAAACACATTTCTGAAGAATCAAAATACTGGTAAATTTGATTTAGAATCTTGACCCCATGCTAAAAGGACAAGGAATATCTAATAAAGTAGAGTACCCTGGGAGATAAAATTAAATGCCTTTAGTAATTTTAGGTCACCAAAAGGTGGCTTTGAAAAAATTTGAGCATAGCCAACACTTTTGTATTCCATTTTTCTAGGTGTTGAAGTCATTACACAATAGCATACGTAAATGAGATGCCAACCTCTGGAGATCTAAAACCTGGAGACTCTATCTCTTTCACTTCTTCCCCCCTCCCCCTCCATGTCAACAAACCCCCACACCCCACACCACAAATCAACACAGCAAGCCCCAGAATTATGACAGTCATGGGAATGGTTTAGGACATTATAAGAAGTCTTACATGAAGTACATACCATCAACATTTGCATTCATCATTATAAAATAACTAAGATAGTACGCGCACTCTGATTAGCTGAGTTTTTTTTTTCATGATAGTATGTAAACAGAGTTGTGACGTGAGATGTTTTGCTTTTCGTGAGCACGAATTTGGAAAAGTTTTAGTGATCAAAACTCCACAAGTTTACTTTATTTACCCATTCCTTCGGAGGATGAAACTTGGAAAATCTTTTCAAACAAGCTGTGTCAACTTTTTTTCGCTTAAGCTGACATTTTAAGCGAAAAAAATCCGTATTTTGGAAAGCATCTTTTTGCAAAACAAGAACTGATTATATGCATGCAAGAAAAAGGTGATCAATACTACGTAATTCTGCAGATAGTCCATCAGCAAAACCCAGCATGGCTCGCTGACTTGCAGATTGTCTGGACCCCATTTTTTGCACTTCTTTCATTTTTATTAGAATTAACTGCAAATATTTTCTTTTTTTAACTATGAAGACTTATATTTTGCTAAGTTAATCAGACATTTATGCCCTAAGAACTCGCCTTGAAAGCATATGAGAAGTTAATCCCCAAGTTTACCTATACACATGTACCTATTTCAATAAAGTTCACTGCGGGGAAGAATGAAGCATGGTCCATGTTTCAATATAGCCCACGGTGCATTATGAGAGCAAGTCCAGTAAATTATGTGCCCGCGTCAAGAGCCTAGAAACCAAGAAAGCAAACGCTACTGAGGCTTCAATGCTATGTCAGCAGAACGTTACGACAATGTATTTCAAAACACTGAATGCTAGGCTTTTTGGGACAGCGATTTGAGTTTAGGTTTTGCTCTGTGGTAATTATATGCAAATGTTGCATTAAATTTTCAATGAGTTTGTTTGGCTCGTGCATGTGGGAATTTTGGATGGAGTTGAAAAAAAAACAAATTCAAGGCACTTTTTGAAGTACAATAAATAACTTGAAATTACGCGTTTATTTATTTTTAAGGCAAGTTTTTTTCAAACTGAAAAAAAAAAAAAGAATACCGTTGACTTGCTTTATCGAGATAAGCAGCATTCTGCCCCGTCCAAAAACGCAGCTTAATCAGGTGGTAAAACCCTATTCAATTAATGGTGTTAAAGGAAGGGGCTTCTAATTTCTTACTGTGAGATTTTAAAAATGAAATTCTTTAGCTCACTCATGCTTTTAAAGAATATTCGCAGCCATCAATGAACGTGAACAAGACTGAACTTCCCGCTACAAAAGGGTTTACCATAGTGCACTGCAGGCCATGAAATATGGTTCACGGGAACAACCTTAACTGCAATAGGTGTATTAATGCCCAGGATGTTACACCTCAATAATTTTGATACCCTGCTAGCAGAGTCGCTTCGATCTTTCAATAAGTCGGGAAAGAGGAAGCGACTCTGCTGATATCTTCAAGTTCCTTTGATCTGCCGATCATCCAGCTTTTTGGATGAGTCAGACAAGTTTTATACTGGATAAACCAGTTTTATCTGTGCATGCACGCATGTGCTGGAATTTTGCTGACTCTTTCTGCGCCCACGCTCCATAGAAAAACAAATAGCTGCCGCTTCAATTTCATGCGGGAATTTTGAGAAAATTATAGTTTGAATGTTCAGTTTTAGAAAATTGGAAAATGTACCCAGATTCGAGATGGATTTTGTTTTGGATTTAACCATGTACTTAGCCGATTTTATTGCGTGAACGGATTCACAATCCAGTAAGTGTTAAGCGAAGTTTTTGGAAGGATAAACAAATGGGTTTTGAATAAAAATAATAATATTTTAAGAAACAATATCTATGCTAATTCTTCTGTGTTTGCGATAACATTAATTCAAAATAAGATCATGGGGCTACAGAATCCACGTTGCATTTAAATGATCGATGCTTTTACAGTTGTTTGTGGATAACACCCGACTTGCATTGCAAAAACGTCTTTGGATTTTGTGTTTTTCTACGACGTCAATCAAAATCTGAACAAGCGGCGCTTTCTTCACTTTCTCGCTTTTTATACATCTTAGCGAACCTCGAGCTCTTAGGAAACAAAAGGTCGTCGTTCGTGATTTGTGATTGGTGCATTTCGATCAGTTTTGTGTGTTTCTGTGTTTCAAGGTTAGATGCTTTGTTTTTGAAAAGCAGTGCGCGAACCGTAAGTTTTACCTTAGCTCTAAGATTTTTTTTATCTTCTTTACACTGAAACATGGCAAGTTTAGATTCCAAAGGTGAAATTGTTCCTATAGAGCTTCCAAATCCAGAGGAAACACAGCTATGGAAGGGTGAAAACGAACCGGTACGTTCCCATTTACATTTGCTGACAAACACAGTGGATGCTACGGTAACGGTTTGATTGACGTCACAGAAAAATTTGAATTTGGAGCATGCTCAATATGAATTGTTGAGGATGTCGGCAGAGGTTCCTATGGTGTACATTTGCGGACAAAAATAACTGAAAATAAAAGACAATTTGAAGTTCAAAAATTTGACTATCCACGTCGGAATCTCGTCATATATGAATTTGAAATCACAATGAACGCAGTCTAAATAGCATCATTCTAACTTGAAGTTACTTTGAACAAGTTGAAACTATAAAGGGAAAACTTGACATCGCAGATGTTGAAGTTCAAATCACCATTCCAACTAAAATGCAAATTACATGATTTGAACTTCAATTCACCTTCTCCACTCTAATAAGCCACTTAATCGTGAACAATGCAACGATAATCTTCCACAAAATTCCAAATGAAACCTTCAATTTGAACTTAAAGTCACGTCACATATTCGAATTCGAAAAACCAAAATTTCAATTCGAAAGGGTTGTCACTAAGATTTCAAGTTGCCGGGTAAATACAACAAGTAGGCGGTGAATCAAACGGCTAGGGATTTCTTTTGGTTCTATTTTTCTTCTATTTTCCAATAAAAGTAGCCGGGGGCCACTCTCTTAGTAGCCGGGGAAAATCCCCGGCCCCCGGCTCTTAATGACAACCCTGATAGTAAAAATACACAGCAACCGAGTAATGACTAGGTACGAGTCTACAGGCTAGATGGGAGGCTTGGACCCTGAGCTTTCCTCATCTCTGATGGGATCATCGTCATGGCTGCTCAATGGCTACCGAACATCGAAGAGTTTTTCGTTGGACTGGTTAGACTGTTAGAGGCATCAGAAACTAATCTAAACTCAGCATCATATGATAATTCTGAATTTTTATTTCGTCGACTTGATGCTCACCAGCATGGCGAGCCGCAAGCCTTAGCGACCGAAATATGGGGGAAAATTTGTCCCCCATCTGACCAGAAGGCCATTGTTTAAATTCAGCCAAGCATAGACCGTTGACAGCTTGAAACCATACTTGAGCAGAAATGAGAATCTCCTTTCGTGGCCCCCTGTGAAGCTTTATCCGACATATCTTTCAACCGCTCATTTTAGCAGACACTACTAAAAAGCTGATGAGACGAACACAACTAAAAAATAGAACCTGATAGAATGAAAATCGCTCCAAAACAGTGCATCAGTTGGAAAACTTGTGGCGGTGTAGAGGAGTTTTGCAACAAACAGGGGATACTTCAGAATCAATATGCATTTATTTACCGAAGATGAACGAAGTGCAGCGATTTAAATTCGATAGAATTTGCATTAACTATAAATTCAAATAGTTTTTACAGTAGCTTTCTCTGGAGAGCAGAATTTAAATAGGAGACTTCACCGGCCTTTTCTCAAAAAAGGGAATAGTCCCGCTTTTAATTCTGCTCCCCCGAAATTTATATTTCTAAATCTAAGTAGCTTTCTTTTTCTTTTAGAAAAATTTTACGGGGGGAATTGAAATGAATTTTGGTTGATTGGTTGCGTCCATCGCGGTTCCCCCTATTTGTTTTCTAATAAAATACCATTGCACGAACGGTCTCTATTATTTTTCACGAGCCATAACCAACCAAGTTCCCTTGCACTAAGCGAAGGCGACACACCCGATCGCTTGCTTTTTCAGGCGACTCACCCAGAAGAGCACGTGCAGACGGAACTTTGGTCGTTGTTTAGCTTTGTTTTGAATCACCCAACGAATAAGTTCAATTACGAATTCTAAGCGTCTAGTTGACTCAATACAATCTTAGCAAGTCCCAAACAAAAGAAAAATATATTTGGCAAACCGTTTTCCAAGACTATTTTACCTTATAAACTTTCCTAAGGCCTCGTTTTTTTACAGAAAGATTCATTTAATATACACGTTTTACAAAGTCTTCTTGCACTAAGCGAAGGCGACTCACCCGATCGCTCGCTTTTAATCAGGCGACACACCCAACATAAAAGCACGTACAGAATACCCTGAACCATGTTCATGAATTTGTTTTCGGTGAATTATATCAAAGCTCTCTGCTCGTGAAAAATAATAGAGACCGTTTGCGCAGTCTTATTTTATTAACAAAACAAATAGGGGTGAACCGCGATGGACACAACCAATCAACCAAAACTCATTTCGATTCCTCCGTAAAAATTTTTTAAAAGAAAAAGAAAGCTACTTAGATTTAGGGCCTTACAAATGACGAGCAAATTTAACACTCAACCCCGGCTCTCTGTGAAGTACCTTAGGTAGGTCGGTAGGGGTATGGGTAACACGAGCGTCTGATATTTTTAACCCGTTTCATTTCATTTTTGATCAAAATAAAAAGCTTTTATGAGGTTTATACTTGGAATAGCCCTTATTAATGGCTTTGTAGCGAAATTTGCTACTAGTGGGAGTCATATCCGCCTATTCGATACTAGGAAAACGATTATTTTCATAGGCAGAGCTCCGTCCGGCTGTGTTGAGAACGCATGCAACAACGCAATATTACGCGATGATTACTGGCCTTATTGTTGTGCAAAGAGTGTTTTAACTGAAGATAACTTTCTCATTAATTGAAACAAAGATCTGAGATTGAAGTGACAACTATAAATCGCACTGGATCATGATGAAGCATTAAACATCGGCAACAAGCAAAACAGTTGAAAAAAGATCAGAGATATAGCAATTTGGCCACTACGTGTGTATGTGTATTATAAAACACGGACGTCTATAATTTTCAACACTTTCCTTTGTTTATCAAGAAAATGTCGCACGAAATTAATAGAGCTTTTCGACTTCTTTATTAGGGTACTTTTTGTAGACAAAATTGCCTCCAGTGGAAGTTGTGCTGGGCCTGTTTCTTTCTAAACACGAGCTGTGCGATCGAGAGCGCCACATTAAATTTGGCGGGCATTTAGCAGGTTTTGGCGCGGACATGTTCAAAGCATAAATAAATTAATTAAAGGAAAAAAATCGAACACTGTGCTTACCTTCAAGGAGTCTTACGATTAATCAAGTCATTATACAAACCAGAATTAATGTGTCCCAAGGTAAACCTACTGATCTAAGGCTGAATTGGCCTCGCATTTGAACCAATGTGAAGAAGGAAGGCTGGCCGTCTCCGGTTTTCAGAAGAGAAGCTTGAATTCTCCTAACATGTCTGATCTGTTTAAATGTTCTTGAAATACCAATCGCTTCTAAGGGAAGCGATTTTGATCGCGAATCAACACAGAAATTCTCGACCAGGAAACGGCAAAAAGTAACCCACATATACTCCATACAATGATGGCTTGATCGGGCTGATCCGATCTGGAGAATAGTTGAAAAGACCGCGCTCGACTTTTATTTACATGTATTTACCCCGCCTAGTATTGTTTTAACCATATTAACAGACAGTTGCGAAATTTAGCATTGTTTCATCGCCTCTGTGAAGATCACTACCGATGACAGCTAATCCGACCCCTGCTAACATGCACAAGGTCGGAGGTAAAATTCTAACAGGAAATTGAGTATAGCAACCGTCACTCAAGATAATTAGAAAAGGGACTTTACGCGGCTCCTCATGGAACTTAATGTTAACTCTGCTAACAGTGTTGACAAGCCTACACAACTCCTGCAGTTCGCGGATGAATAAATTCTAATAGAGACCTTTAGCATAGGCAGGTACAAAAGTCGGACCGCCAGTCCGGGTCGGATCAACTCGGATCAACTCGGACCAACTCGGATCGAATAAAAAAATAAAAGTAAAATAAAATTGGACTCGGATCAACTCGGAGCAATAAAAAAATTAAATTAAATCAGCAAAACTGAAAGTTTAACCCATTTGGAGGGTATCATTGTCAGTACATGCAGGTACATGTTCATGACGGGCTTAGGCTACAAAAAAAATTCTGACCAGGAGGTCGTCTAATCTCGTAAATTACTTTAATTGTCACCGCCTGCCGGAAACAATCAATGAAGCCCTTTTTTTCTCTCAGTATCTTGTTTCATTTGTTAGATTTACTGAGGTTGTCGCGACTGTCACGCATGAATATTTCGCTAAAGTTTCTGTCGCTTTACTGTATAACGCTGGTTGCATTTGCGAAGCTATGAGCAAGGTGGCTAGATTTCTAATTACTCCTGGCAAGTGTTAAATCTACTTTAATTTAACGGGAAGATGCCAGAAAAACGAATCCGTTTTAACCCACGTCAAGTTCGACCACTACACTGCTAAACGAGAGTGGCAAATTATTTCTGTAGGAAATCCTTACTTGGTTATCGACTTCGGTAAGTTTAGCTTTGTTTAGCCGAGGAATTGATGGTAAGTTGTGATTTTTAATATTTCGGTTTTTTGTCGATGAAAAGTACGGAGAAAAAATATTGAGCGGAAATTATTTTTTTCGCACGTGCTCTCTGATGATGTATTTCACATAATTTTTGATAATGTATTACAAAAAGATTCTGTCCAGATTTCTCGATATTTTGTCAGTTTCACTCTATCACACGCCGCCCAACAAACGATCGCTAGCCTCTAGCAATTTGGCGCCAGCTTTCCTATTTTGCTTTTGCATTTTGATCACCGTCTCATGAAAGTGCTTTTAATTATTTGTGGCGGGAAATTATGTACCGTGCGCGTTTGTTTGGCGCCCAGATCATTGACATCAGTGGAAGAGACTCCAGACAGGTAAGAAAACTTAATAATTATATCAGTAGCATTTGATGTTTAAAATTATAATTCTGGATTATTCTATTCTAGTTCAACACTCGAGAGAGTCAGCTCTTTTCTCAAAAAAATTTCGCAGACAAGTAGCCTCGCTGGGTCATGCAGGGTCCCCTTGTTTCCTGAGCTTTTGTTATCTGCATTGCATAGTATTAATCTGTAGTATCCTAGGTAGTGTATACCTGAAATCTACAGTTAACTCATAAAAATGCTCTAATCAATGCTGAAGTATCCTGGGTAGCATATACCTGAAATCTACAGTTAACTTGCAAAAATGCTCTAATCATTCCCGTAGTATCCTAGGTAGTGTATACCTGAAATCTACAGTTAACTTGCAAAAATACTCTAATCATTCCTGTAGTATCCTGGGTAGTGTATACCTGAAATCTACAGTTAACTCGTAAAAATGCTCTAATCAGTGCTATAGTATCCTGGGTAGCGTATACCTGAAATCTACAGTTAACTCGTAAAAATGCTCTAATCAATGCTGTAGTATCCTGGGTAGTGTATACCTGAAATCTACAGTTAACTCGTAAAAATGCTCTAATCAATGCTATAGTATCCTGGGTAGCGTATACCTGAAATCTACAGTTAACTCGTAAAAATGCTCTAATCAATGCTGTAGTATCCTGGGTAGCGTAAACCTGAAATCTACAGTTAACTGCAAAAATGCTCTTATCATTCCTGTAGTATCCTGGGTAGTGTATACCTGAAATCTACAGTTAACTCGTAAAAATGCTCTAATCATTCCTGTAGTATCCGGGGTAGCGTATACCTGAAATCTACAGTGCCAGTCTTACTAGATTGTTTAATCTTTCCCTGGAAACTCGCACCTTTCCTTCTCTTTGGAAATTTGGAAAAGTGGCAGCGTTATTCAAGAAAGGTGATCGCTGTGATGCTAACAATTACAGACCCATTACTGTGCTGCCAACGATCAGTAAAATTCTAGAAAAAGCCGTGCACACCCAACTGTACGCTTATCTTAAGAACAATGGTATCCTTACATCTAAGCAATTTGGGTTCAGGCCGAAGTTATCAACTGGAACAGCCCTATCTCATTTCACAGACAATATCCTCCAGAATATGGACGCTGGTTCCTTTACAGGTGCTGTTTTTCTGGACCTGTCTAAGGCCTTCGATACAGTGGATCATCCCCTGCTGCTGCAAAAATTGACGCACATCGGTCTTACCACCTCTACCACCCAGTGGTTTAGATCGTACCTCACAAACAGATCTCAAATTACATCAGTTGGAGATGCTCACTCTGCATCTACCGAAATGCCTATTGGAGTACCCAAGGCAGTATATTGGGACCTTTATTGTTTTTAATTTACGTGAATGATCTTCCGGACTGTCACCTGGCAAGCGATAATATTCTTTATGCAGACGATACTGTACTCTATTACTCATCCAAAAGCGTCAGTGATCTTGAACATCACATCAATGCTGACTTGGGGACAGTGTCTGAGTGGTTCTCTAGAAATCTCCTGACACTAAATATATCCAAATGTAATTTTGTTATCTTTGGAAGTCCTCAGAAACTGAATCGTATTCAAGGCATTTCGGTTAAAGTAGAGGGCACTAGCATTGAAAGAACACAATCATTCAAATACCTAGGCGTAACGCTTCAACAGTCTATGTCCTGGGCAGATCACGTTGATGCTATCAGCATGAAGATTAATCAGAGAATAGGCCTAATTAGGAGAATCAGGAATCTATTGCCGCTACAAGCTAGAGTTGCCTTGTACAATGCCCTAATCCTCCCTCTTTTTGATTACGGAGACGTTATATGGGGGGACAAGAACAATGACACCATCATGTCAGAATTACAGATTCTACAGAATAAAGCTGCTAAAGTTATGCTGGGGCAACCACCCCGAAGCTCGTCAACTGAAGCACTGAAAAGTCTAGATTTGAAGTCACTGTCCACAAGAAGGTTTTTTCATCGCTGCATTGCAATCCACAAGTGTCTTATTGGAGAAACCGATTTCAACTTTAATTTTACTAAAAGTCAAGCTGTTCATTCATATAATACAAGACGCTCTAATGATATTCGCTTACCCCTACCCAGAACAAACTGGGGTAAACAAACTTTTATTTTTCACGCCGCGAAAGACTGGAACAGCCTTCGAAATGATTTAAAAGAGTGTAATATTTTATCTATTTTTAAATCCAAGTTAAAAACTTTTTTAAAAGATCTCAGCTAATTTTAAACCTTGATGTTTTTTTGTACAATCGATTTTAAGATTTTAAATTTTTAAATTTGTTTTACTTGTAAACATATTTTACTTTTTTCGTAATTATTAATTAATTAGTTAGATTAATGCATGAGGGCCCCACTGAAAACCGCCTTGGCGAGTTGGGCTCCCTCTATAAATATTATTATTATTATTATTATTATTAACTTGCAAAAATGTTCTAATCAATGCTGTAGTATCCTGGGTAGTGTATACCTGAAATCTACAGTTAACTGGTTAAAATTCTCTAATCAATGCTGTAGTATCCTGGGTAGCATATACCTGAAATCTACAGTTAAGTTGCAAAAATGCTCTAATCAATGCTGTAGTATCCTGGGTAGTGTATACCTGAAATCTACAGTTAACTGGTTAAAATTCTCTAATCAATGCTGTAGTATCCTGGGTAGTGTATACCTGAAATCTACAGTTAACTTGCAAAAATGCTCTAATCATTCCTGTAGTATCCTGGGTAGTGTATACCTGAAATCTACAGTTAACTTGCAAAAATGCTCTAATCATTCCTGTAGTATCCTGGGTAGTGTATACCTGAAATCCACAGTTAACTTGCAAAAACACTCTAATCAATGCTGTAGTATCCCGGCTAATGTATACCTGAAAAATACATAACATTGACTTATTTGACTTATGGAGGTGATAATCTTATTCAACTCTTACTCTTTTGAATATTCATGGTCAATTAACAGCTTTCTCTCGATCCGTCTTATTTTTTAGCACGCGCTTGAACTTGATTTTGGCACGAGTGTTGCCTTAACAAAGCGGAGTAAAAGAGCAGTATAAGAACATGTATTGCAGTATTAATTTTTGTGTTAGTGATCTAGGAACCTCTGAATTTGGCAATTTTGCAGTAATGACATATCGCCAGGGCTATTTCATTTGCTTGATATAAAAGCAGTACAAAAAAATCTTAAATCATATTAGTTCTTGTCTGTTAATTGTTGTTTCTGTCGGCTTTATAAGGACTTGATGCCTTTACATACCGATACAGGACCATAAAGTAGTTAGCGCATTTGTTAAATTTGGTAATGTTAAATTAGAGTATAAGGAGCTTACTTTTACGAATTTTACGAAAAACATTTTCCCGGCCCTTTAGGAAGCGGCTTAAATAGTTTCAAAGTTGCAGGGCAGTCACAAAACTGAATTCTTGAGTTTACCTCCTTTTCATACTATAATTTACTGCCCGAGACTGAAAAAGGCGCTATATAAAATGTTTATGACGTTACATTATTACCAAAATAGTATGAGCCTCGGAAGAGGGTTAGCCGAGCAGAAAAAGATTGAAACCGTGCTTTAATCGGATATTGCGGTTACTTTCATTTCAGTTTATGGTAGCTTGAGTTACTCTTTTGTGGGCAATTTACAGAAGTTCTAGGGTATTCAGCCGACACCTCAAGAGCCTAGAGCTGTCAGACCTTGGTTTTGAATTACTTATGCAAATTAGCTGGCTGCACACTGAATGTGCAGCCAGCTAATTTGCATAAAAATTTTTTCATGCTTCAAAGCTCGTCATGATTATCGATACTAATCATTCAACAGATATCTGAAATTGAAAAAAGTCGATCACAAAATTTCGTGTGATTATCGATTTCTATCGAAATTTGTGTTGGAGTTCGATTTCTATCCGTAAAGAATGGAGTTACGAGATTGCAGAAAAAGAGCAAGGCATGTTTGGTCATTCTTTGGGTGCGATTTCCGTTTCACCTGATACATTTTAATGCAAAATGCAGCAATTTCTTACATCAGAAATATGAACAGAGTCAAAACATGTATGCATAATAAATGTATGGGGTGATTTACTACTCGTGAGGCTAATAAATAATATACAAACAGCATGAGTGGAAAAGTACTGTTTGAAGGCATAAAGAATTCAGACAGCTAGTTGATAAGTCGATAGTGTTCGATATTAATTGTCAATAATGGTCGATTGATTAGCTACATTTGTTGATAAAAGTCGATAATTACAACAATCTCAGGACAGGTAACCAATTTCGATATTTTGCTGAGGATTTACATGAACTTTAGAGGAATGCCACATAAGCTAAGGAGGATCTGGACATCGCAATTCTTCACATGCACACGCGTGCTACTCGTTTACAAACGGATAAAATCCGTTCGAACGAATGTTGCAAAAGCTCAAATAGACTTTCAAAAAAGTCCTTCGTCCGATTTAATATGGCGCACTGAACGACTGCCTATTTCTTTGAGCGAACAGATGAAACTGAAATCGAAAGCGGAAGTAAGCTTAAATATAAGCAACAACAGTTCTTGCTTGATTTGCCCTTGAAAACGTAAAGTAACGCGTTACCAGTAACTAAAGGATAACGTAAACAAAGCTGTTCGAAAACTACGATTACCTACCCGCCAAAACAAATCTGTTTCACCTTAAAGATGGATGGAACGCAGCTCAACTCCTTACACTCTGTCGAGAACAAGATTACCACAGGGCACCGAAAGGAGGTCTGGGAAACTTTGTGGGAGGGACTGGCTACTCGAGGCCACCAGAAACCCGTAAGGGGTTGTTCAACCCCTTATGAGTTCCTGAGGCCACTTAATTAAGGTCTCGGTATTTAGTACATTGCTCGATTTTGTTTTTTTTTTTATTTTTGGCGTGAGTGGGTCCTATATTTTATTTTGGAAGAAAAGAAAATCAGAAAGTGCTTTTTAACCCTTCTAAAATGAGCCTTTTCTGTTTCCCGCCAGAAGTTGCGTGCGAAAAGTGATTGACAGCCCCCGTCTATTGCGTGACACTCACTCTCTCAGTTAGAGGGAAAAATCAAAATTCTCCGACATCGCTTTGAAACTTTCAGATATGATGGATAATGAGGAATTTTCCGATTTCCCTTTGTAACTCATTTTATGTCAGTTTCTTTGCGTAAATCGCGTTCGAGATTCGACTTTTTAGTTTGAAATGCAATAATTCCGCTAATACGAGACATATGCAAATTTCCTCACACCCTTTTTTAGTTCTTTGATCTGTCAATCAGATCCAATAAAAAGGAAGTGAATTTTTCAAAACGCGAAAGGGCTGGAGCTTCAGCAGTAAACTCGATACCTCTGAGTTCGAGAGCAAAAAACTTAAGCGTCTTTTGAAATTCGATGAAATAAAATGTTTTACAAGGTAATTTAGTCTTTTAGCTTTAATTTGATATATAACTTGCCTTTGTAGCGAAAATACTCGCGCGTCTAGAATTTTTTTCTGTGGGCACCTCGTTTTCCTTTACCGAGACCTTAAGTTTTTCACGGCGTACCCAATAGATGAAAATAGATCATCAGAGACCAATAAGTATAATCGATAAATATAATCGACTATTATCGATTGGCTTCATCAGTCGATGAAAATCGATACTCATAATGCGAGTTCTCTTAATTGTATCGATTTTTATCGGCTCCTGAGTCTGCATATTAACAGACGCTTTATGAGCCAAGCGAGGCGAACGCGGCATTTTGCGCGAAGATCCTTCCCTCGTCTTGCGCTTCGCACTCGTTTCGCGCTCCGTGCAAACTGCCGTGTTGGCCTCGCTTGGCTCATAAAGCGCCTGTTATGCAGGCTAGCCTGTACGCGGAAAAACGGGGAAAGTGACCGGATATGTTTTAATTTGTCTTTTCAATCGATTTCAAGAAACGTCGTTAGAGCGCGTTGTCCTCGTATCACGGATTTTAACTGATCAGACTTTTCGAAGAGAGTTTTCAAGGAAAGGCAGCTCATGTTAAAACGCAGGCGATGAAGACTGCAGACTGATCAGATTGTTAAGTTTTCTTGCTTGACTTTTATTAAAGTAGAACTTGTTTTAAAGTAGTAAATATGCTTTCGTTTCCCGCCTCTTCTCGTTACAGCTCCGTCTGCACAATCTGCATTCGCAGTCTGCATGGTCTGCGTTTCAACATGGTTGAACGACAGCTCTGAATTCATTGTTGAACGATTTTCATTGTCAATCGATATAATCGATTAAAATTAATTAAAATCGATGAAAGTTAACCTGAGATCAGGGGCCCGTTTCTCGAAAGTCCCGATTATTAACGGGCCCGGTAAGATGTCTCCGTTTACATTAAAGATCGAGGTTTCGATAGTTTTGCATCTAACGTGATAAAACTATCAGTTAATGAAACAAAATGGAGTAGTTTGCTAGCCAGGACCAGCGCTCTTATTCATTATATTTCGATTTGAATATTTGATTTCGGGCCGGACAAGTTACCGGGACTTTCGAGAAACGGGTCCCAGGCCCAATTTCAGCAGCTTCCATACATTCTTTATTACGTGGTCGCGCTAAAAGAAACAGTGATAGTTAAAAGGTTCTAACTAAGTTAATTCATTCGTGAAATTATTCAGCCGGAAACGTCTTTTTCCAGGCATGAAGAAAGAAAGAAACCTTAAAGAAAGAAACAAACAGAAAACACGAAGTTCCATTTAAACTATCAGACATCGATTCATTTTAGCAATAGACCACACTTTCTATGGGTTTACCGGAGTGATATCCCACTTGGGATGCTGGGAGAACACGAGAAAAGCTTGTAAATCACAAGCCGAAGGCGAGTTTAAATGGAACTTTGTTTTTTTTGTTTGTTTCTTTAAGGTTTCTTTCTTTCTTCATGCCTGGAAAAAGTCGTTTCCGGCAAAAGCCCATCACTGTTTCTGGCTGAATAATTTCACGAATGACTTAACTTAGTAAGAACCTTTTATAAGTTTATATAATTCCCCTAAGTCGGTTTAAACGGTCTTTTTATGATCCAGCTGAGATTGAAGTACCGTAATATACCCACGAGGGTAAGAGGGTCTCAATGGGGTTAACCGATAGGCGTAAAACGGCCCAAAATTTAGTCGATAGCCGTAAAAATTGAAAAATTTTTATCGTTAGCCGTAAATAGGGTAAAAAGTGTTAACCGTAAAAAAATTTTGCTCCTTAGATTTGATAATTTGAGGAAAGTTCTAGACTCACTTAGAACGGTTGTGTTTCTTATTTCGCGGCTACTTTGACTCTTTACGTTCGGCTAGTTTTGCTTTTCACGAAGATTCTATTCAAATAAACTGTTGTCTTTTATTAGGAATGGTCCTTTTCATGGCGCACAAAAAATTTTAGTTGACTGGCAATAGCTTAACCTTTTGTTTCTATTTTAAACAAAGAGTTCACGTCATTTTAAGAGAATGAGAAAACTCTCCTGCGGCAAAGATCTTCAAAGCCGCGTACTTCTCAGCTTGGCTCCGACACTTGTAAATGTGAGAGTCACAGAAATGTTCGAGTCTCAATCTGTATGCTTGTTCTTTTTTAGTTCATGCTGTACAATCTGTTCTTCATTGGGGTAAAGACCCTATCGTGGTAGTAAAAAGAGAAGAGGGTAGCAAATACAAAGCGACGCGAAGAACGAATCAGTAGCCCCTGAAGAAAAGGAAATCACGCCAAGATGCAAAAGATGACAAACGTTTTCATAGTTAACATTTCTATGCGTAAAATGATATTAGAAGTGGAATACTCTAAAAGCATGATTTATGAAATATTAAAAATTTTTAGAAGAATAACTTATTTCATGATCCTAAGACATTTATTTTGCTTTAGGGACGGACCATTAGAAAAGTTATGGGGGGGGGGGGAATTTTCGAGTCGCAGAAATTTTTTTTCGTTATCAAATTCCTTGTATGAATTTTTTTTAGGCCATAGCATGAATATTTTTTCGGATTAATTGGCGTGCATGAATTCTTTTTCGTTTAACTTTCCCTTGCGCGAATATTTTTTGTACTTCGCCCGCCACCCCCCAATAAGTTTTCTAATGGGTCGTCCCTTAAAGATCCAAAAAAAAAAGGTTTAGTACTATTTAACTCTTTGAAACAAAGAAATCAATTTTTAACTTCATAGTTAACCGTAACTGAAAAAAATTAACTGATAGCCGTGAAAGAGGCAAAATTTTAGCCGATAACCGTAAATGCCACCACCCCATTGAGACCCTCTTTTAACAGTTACAACATTCTCGTAAAAATATTTTGTCATTCTGCGCTATTAATTTCAGCCCACCTAACCGACATTCACCGTGTATAAAAAGACAAACAGCTGCACAGTGCAGGTAACGTAAACGCGGCGAAGTTCCTTACTTTCCATCTAGAGATAAAAACCTCCGTGATTCCAGCCATCTCTCAGTCCCAGAACCCGCCAGTACACAAGATGATTTTGGTAAGTTTGTTTTGTTAGGATTATTAGTATTTACTTATCTTTTGCAATGTAGTCCTACCTTTTGACTCTACAGACGAAATCCTATATGTCTGCATTCTGTGTGGGATTTTCTTGACTTTAAAGAAGTTACTAAGTTACTTCACATTTAACTTCACTGGTATAAAATCATTAATAGACTTGGGAACAGTGCTTTTAAAATTTGTAGCTGCAAATACGTATCACCAGAAGGCAAGGCTGCTCTTTTACCAGTATGAAAGGCTTTAAGGAGATGCTATAACGCTTAGTCAGTCGGTTGATTAAATAATAAAATTAAACAATTATTATATTTGGCTTTAATACTGACCTCGGGGGTGTAAGGCCCGCGTACGAACCCGCCAAAATCCATGGTTTGATTTTCAACTTCTGCACTTGAATTTTACAGCTGAATTCAGAATTTTACACTCTTCCTTTAGAATTCACATCATTGGAAAACGTTGTTACGCACAGTTCGCTATTTACAATAGTGGTCTAGGAGTTAAACTCGAGCCTATCAAGAAATAATTCCGGCCAGTAGTCAATGGGTGGGACTTGAATTGAAGGCCTGCATCGGATGGCGGCAACTGCAGCCCTCTGACTAAAATAATCGACTAGCTAAAATAATCGACAGTTAATGTTCCCACCAAGGAATAAATGGCTGCACTTGAGATGACTAGCTGTCCTTGAATTCCAATTGTAGAAGATATGATGAGGAGAAGGTCTCGAAGTATGGCCCTTTGAAATGGGAAATAATGCAGCAGTGTGTTACAGCATCACATTATATAGGATTTTGGAGGGTAGAGCTCTTGAGAGATTGACACGCAGGAAGGACGTGCTAAAAAAATGCAGAAATCCGCGGTTCTCCCTGGTAAACCCAATATCGCTCGGACGTTTCAAAGCCAGGGAAAAGCGCCCTGGGGACGAGGTTGAGTGGTCTCGTGAGTTCACGTGGGGCAGCATAATGGCACATGCAGTTAGAAGAACAGAACCTTTTCTGATAATTCCGTCAGTCTTATGTTGTGAAATTCCTTTCGTTCTTACCTCGTAAAATCTTTTGCTTACGTCGTAATTTCAAAAGTGCGGGCGATATTAATTTAAGTGTACTTGAAAGAACAATCAACTATTTTATTTTTCTTAGCACGTGCTGCTCCGTGGCACCACTAGATCTTCCGCATTTCACTCTCGAGAGCTCTCAGATGCCCTTTAAGCACATTCATTACAAACTAGCTGTTTTGTTTTTCTCCTTTCTCTAATGCTTAGCAGGCCATGAGGTTGAGCTACTAAGCAACTGCATGCAGGGGCGGATCCAGGATTTTTTTTTAGGAGGGGTGCACTCTCTTGCTCTACTTCAACACCCAACCTCGTCCCCAGGGCGCTTTTCCCTGGCTTAGGGTTAGGGTTAGGGAAATCCGACCCGGCGAAGCACTAATAAAAACTCTGGTCTACCCGCCATCTTCGATGTTTTGTTTATCTTATGCGATCGAATGCTAATTTAGTACACCCACAAATTCTGGGTGTTTGGTGGTCATGTGACCGGCCGATGCCAGGGCCTTTTCCCGCCCCACCTCCTAAGCCAGGAAAAAGCGCCCTGGGGACGAGGTTGTTCAACACCAATAAACCACATGTTTTTTTTTTGCAGAATACCAGTTGTATTAGAAAACCGCAGGTCATCGGGGGGTGCACCCCATGCACCCTACCCCTAGATCCGCCCCTGGCATGAATACTGACTGACTTTAGGTCAAGCATTTCTCTATGTTCACGGTGATCATGAATGTTCCACCCCCTTATGCTTTAACAGAAAATAAGGCCTAAGGTTTCTCATGAATCCATACTGTTGGTATTACAATGACGTGGACTGATATAGTCTCGTCACATTCCTTGCATTTCAGGTATATTATTAAATATATGCCGTGGTTTTGTCAACTCTAGTGCAATCTTGTCCTTCTTCGTGACATTGTTTTATCAAATACGTGATTCATACGTTTATATCGTGATGCGGTATGGTTATATTTACTTCATTGCGAAGTTTTTTTCTTTTCATCATTTTGTACCTGATGTGGACGTTTCTGATTATATTATGTTTTCTTTTCTGTTACTATGTAAGGTGGTACATTATAAAGTAGTGCAGTTCCGTTATTAACTGTCACGGTTAGATCGTCGTTTTGCGATGTGGTTTTAACCATCACGCACAGCGGTTTTTTCATAAACTTCGTGGCTTCCTTGACTTCGGGTGAAGTTTAACCAGCTTTAAGTTTTTAGTTTCTTCCGCAAATAAGAAAGAAAACAAAGATTACTATTCATTCAAAATATTTCCCCGATTCTGATTGGCTAAACGCACACGCATAATTCACCATAACCAGTTACTGATGACCAAATTTGGAAGAATTTTGTGTTTAACGAGGAAATGACGTCAAAAATGAAGCGTTCTTGCAGGTTAATGTACCGTTAACCGAGAACACCTGGGGACGAGGTTGAGTTGTTTTGGTTGTGAAAACAAAAAATGGCGGACATTTCACTCGTTTCAAGAGTAAGAACTAGGCGAAATTATAGCTAAAAACATGGCAAGAGCAGCAAGAACACAACTTGAAGGGCGACATCTGCTATTTGGAGAATATTTGCTGTGCTGAACAACCCTAAACGTGCACTATCGAAGATGAACTTAACATCGATGGAGGCATGTTTTAGCTTTGCTTTTAAATTAGGAATTAGTTTGAATGAACAGGGGTCTTTTTTGCATGAGCATGCGCGACCGCTGAACTGAAGCGATGTGCATGGAGGCTCACCACAGGGTTTGCCTTCATCAAAATGGCGCGTCTCAAAGCTATCATAGCGATTATTTTGCTCGTTGGTCTTGGCGAATGTGCTCGTGATTTAACAAAATGTGTAGTTTTCATCTCCCCACTTGACCTGGACAACAGCGCGCGTCATCAAAGTCTAAACAAAGTGCAGAAACGTTTGTTGATGCAAGTAAACACTTTCAATTTTCTTTGTTTTGAAATGGGAAAGGAAGAGAAATATTAAAAAAAAACATAGCAAATTTCAGCGAGTGGGTTCAAAGTGCGCGAAAGCCGCTGTTCAGTTCAGCAGTGAATTAATATATGTTCTACAATTTTCCCAGCACTTTAAAGCTACAAAATTAAGAGCACACGAGACGTAGATTAGTCACCTGGTGAGATGTTGGTGGTAGTCACTCTGTATGTCTCGAACAATAAAAAAATGGATATCAATGAGACACAGTCAAAACTGCATTCAATAGGACCGAAATTGAAGTCCAATCTTGTGACCGATTTTGATAAAACAAACGGTTAGGTTTCCCAAGAAGTACAGTAAACATGTGATGCCGACCAAAAGCTAAAAATCGTTAGAACATTTAAGTTCTGGCCAAAAGCAAATTCCTGTAAAAGATGCGTTACAATATCCACGCAAAAACAAGAAGTTCTACAATTTTCCTATAAACAAACTTTGTATCGCTAAAATACTTAAGGCAAAAACTTTCTATTCCAACCGAAAACGGCGTGGTAGTCGCCCGCTGATCGTTATTTATCCACTCCCGAAATATGGCTAAATCAGCTATTAACAAATTATTGGCAGAAATCCTCTACGGCATCGAGAAACTAATTTACATCCGATTTATAGACAAACACTAAATAAAGAACATTTTGCTCAATAGCTACGCATCAGCAATGTATTCTATGCCAAACTTTGCGGTTCTTAAAGGGGAATCAAGACATGAGTCGAGCGCCAAACAACAACAAGCAGCCATATTCGTGTCAGACATCCTTGAGAAACTTGCTCTTTCACCTCGTTCATGCATCAGTCTCCACTTTAAATCAACAGATCTTTACTTATTTTGTATATACAACGAAGGTCTTTCCTAAGTTCCTGCTACCATTTCAATCTCAAGCAAGCTTTCATGGTGAACAATTTGGTTCCTATGACTATGCAGCACGGTCGCTGTCACTGGTCCCGTGCTCTTTGACAAGTCAGTGGTCGCGCATGCTCATGCAAAGAAGACCCCTGTTGTTTGAATGAATAATAAAACAATTATTGAATTCGGCTTTCGTATCATATGAAGAATTATGGAGATCTCGGAGGGTGTTATCCTCCTCGGCCTACGGCCTCGACGGATAACACCCTCCTCGATCTCCATAATTTTTCATAAGATACTCAGCCTCATCATTAATAATTACCCTACAGGAAAATAAAAATTCATAGAAGAAAGTAATAATAATAATAATCATAATAACAATATTTGTTCCGCAGTCGATAAAATACCTATCGAAAGTTACAAACGTCAAGAATTAAAAATAAATTAAAAGTTACAGTTAAAATAGAATCAAACTGCTGGGTTATAATTAAAGCATAGCCTATTTACAAAGCAGGAGTCTTATTCGATGATATTTGGCTTGTGTTTAAAACGTCAGAAGATTATGCGTGCATGGTTGTTGATAGTCTTATCAGTGCTGCGAATGTGTGTGATTGGGTGATTTCCGCATGATGTTAACAGGTATGTATTCGTGTGGTTGAGATGTTTCGCTAAATATATTTTGTGCCAGCCACAAAAACGTTTCTTCGGTGTTTAGGTTAGCTGATTGTACCTTGGAAAAGCAACCCTCGACTCAGGAAAATTGGATCTAGGTCTAGTTTCAGCGGGCTCTAATGGCAAAAGGCCGGATTGTGATAATTTGTGTAGTATGTTTCATTCAGTTTGTTGTCTATTCCATGCGAAACCCTGTCGTTTATCGGACCGCAAAAAAAAGTAGTGTTTTGCTAACTATTTAAGTTGTTATGTAAGCCTTAACCACACACTGGTTCGCTGCAGTTCAGTCAACTTAATAAAATTTCTACACTGAAATGACACCAGTTTGAAACTTCACGGAGTCAGATTACTGAATAATGTTCTAAAATTTGCGTCATTTTAAATTTGGACTTGTTGAACTGCTTCTAGTAACTACTAACTTACTACCCGGAGTTAGATAAAGGCATTTAATCGGCCTTTGAATGAAGTTTTAATGTTTTAAATTGCCAAGTGGTAGAATGAGTTGATTTTTATGCTAACCTGGTTTTCAAATATCCAGGTATATATATTTTTTGTTCTTTTGTTTACTTCTTCATCGCCTTGCCGTAAGGATCAGTTTGTCGTTTCACATTTTTCTACAAGTTTAATTGTATACTACAAAAGCAAGATCTATTTTATTTTAACCTTCAGAAATAGAATTATACCTACAAGAAACCAAAGTGCTTGAAGTTGATGCTAAACGGAGGATAGCATAATTACCATTAAAAGATTTAATACTTTTACGAACAGTAAGTTTATTGTCATTTGCTTGGAAAAAAAAACAAACAAACAAAAAAACCCGTAAGTTATTTCATTCAAAAATTTCCCCGATTCTGATTGGCCACGCATAATTCACCATAAAGTTACTGATGACCAAATTTGGAAGAGTTTTGTGTTTAACGTGTCCGCGTTTGAAATAAACAGGAGAGAGGAGCCAACAACTGGCAAGAAGAGCAAGAAACAACTCGAAGGGCGACATCTGCTATTTGGAGAAATTAATCGAGGGTGAACTTAACATCGATGTTAGGAATTATTTTGAATGAATAATAAAACAGCGTTTGGCGACGATGACGTTTAACGTAAACTTAATTGCGACGCCAAAAAAAGTGAATTTGAACGACTGAAAATTAAAGGATTGCAGTTGCTATAAAATGAGGCTACAGTCTATTCAGGTACTAGCAGTTTATTTAACTCAGACTACATACGTGTATCAGGCACAAACAGCCATTATTACTTGGTTTGTGTTTGTACCGTCATAACGAAGACAACACGGTCCGCATCAAAGAGTCTGAGATAGCGCTTCCTAGACACAGCTGAGTGGGGTATAGTGAGTAATGTTGTCAAACATTTCCTTCCTTTCCATCATTAAAATAGGCTGTAGACTGTTTCGGCAGCCTTTCCACTTTCTCAGGCTCGAAAAATGGCAAGTTGGCTAGTCCATATAGCAATGTCCTGTTAAGTTGCTCATTACAGTGTCTATTAAAACAACAGTAGCTTGTGACCTAGAATCTGAGAAGAGCCATATGGTTGAACCTGTAACATGCCAGTGACATTGAAAATCCTGGTAATGTAGTACGACATTAATTTATCGCAGGAGAGCGCCGGATGTCTTGGCAAAGTATCAAATTAGAAGATAAATTAACCGCCAATATTAAACACTTCATGACTGGTCCTGAGGGAAACAGTTATTTTTGTTTCCAGAGAATCTCAATATTTCCCGAGGGAAGCCAAGGAAAACATCGAGATTCGTCGGTCAACATTCGCGGGTAACAGTGTATTGTTACTCTCTGACGTCATAGATTTTGCAATGTTGTTTTCAGAGATTTTTGGCGGGAAACAGTTTCATTGTTATGTGTCATGTGACCTCGAAGTAATTGATGACAGAGCGCGCTGAAGGGAAGAATTTCCAAACCTTATTACTAGAGGCAACAGCCGACGGTTGATATGGCGGTAAAGGTGCTTTACGCCATAGCCTTTCTGCCATTAAATTTTGGGATACGGCCAAATAAGTAACCATAACCCGAAACAACAGCACAAGTAGTAAGAGTAGCCATGCACGTCGAAGAAATGTTTGCCTGCGGCTGCAGACATTTATTTTAAGTTTTTTTTCGGGTGGAGAGAAGCGACGACCGAAAAAGCGTTCGCACGCTTAAGAGCTGTGGACGGTAATAGTATTTAGGGAAGCGATGCTTATACGAAGGACTATAACGGAGAGCCTCAAGTACGGTATAATATGCGACGCAAAAAATGAGTATAGCTTGCTGCTTTGTGCTATCTAGAAAGCGCTTATAATATTTCTCGAAGTGAATCGTTAATTAACAGACCATGACTGAAGATTTACGAGGATCACGTCAGTCTCATGTTAAGCGCGTCATCTGGTGGTTTATCAAGATACATCTCAAGCGCATCAGAGCTGTTAAACAGTGCTGGGGTGTGGTGAGATGTGCGGGAGGATTCAATAGATTTCCTCTGAGGAAATATGGCCTTCTGAAGTTCAGTATCTTCACTGTATGGTGTCTCCAAACGCCTCAGGAGATTTTGTACCTGTAAAACAATATTTTAATCAGTTGAAATTATAAAATACGTACTGAATCTACAACTTTTTCTAGGCCCAGTAAAACCAATCACATTTCCCTCACCCAGGTGAATTAAAGGTGTATATCATTCCAAGGGTTTAAGTGTTGCAACCAACAAAGGAAAAAATGGATAATAACAAATTGGTACTATTCTTGCGCGCAGGCGAAAGCAAATGAAACAAGATATTAAAAGTAAATTAATACAAATAAGTCAAACAAGTATAGCGCACAGTTTGGCGAGTTGTGGTTGTTATTTCTTTATTTCTTTTTTTTTTTTTCATCCGTAAGCCAAGCCATGACACTAAACACTCCACAACACATAATATGACAAAATATGTAGTTTCAAGAAATACTTCCGGTAACATCAGACTGGACACTGGACACTGGACACGGCTAATTCAATGTTGTACCCAATTCTTATCTCCCGGGGATAAGATTCTTTGTGTATTGTATTTGCATTATAACGTGGTATTCACATGTAAATGATATGGAAATTCCTGAAACAAAACCTTTTATTCCCAAAGGGTTTGAATTGGGTACAACACTGAGTTAGCCGAATAGGTCTATTTTACGATCTCCTTACCACAGTGAAATCTCCACTTTCCGCTGCCTCTATTGCATTCTGAGCGATGTAATTTCTTAAAATAAATCTAAAGAGGAAATACACAACAGTTAAGACTGATAAGATACCTTTAACATTTATCTCAAAGCCCCGATTACAAAAGTTTCTACGACCTCAGGAACACCTACTCTGGGTATGTAGTTCAACATTCCCCAACTAAGAAAACCTGGATCATAATACTTCTTCTCTTGTACATTTATTTTTGGTAAATGATATATACTCACTGACTGAGTAGGAGGGCCGGACGGGAAAATATTTGGCTCTGGTCAGGAGGCACGGACCCGGCCCGATCTAACTCATTCAATAAGCAATTTATCATATGACCGTTGTGTATTTGAATTTTTCTGACAAAGCGAGTCCGCATCGCTCATTACGCTTTTCGAGTAGGGCCGTACACGTTTTTCCGACCCTATCACTTGACGCGTACGGCCCTCATACGAGGCTTTTTTCATATGGTTTTCCAACGAAATTGCTTGCGGGGTCGTCCGGGTAATATGATAACAGGATAAAATACATGAGTTTAGTAGACAGTCAGGCCGGGCGGGGTATAACCTGCCAATCCCTCCGTAACCTCTTCTCCTGTGACTCAGGGGTTCTTTGGTCACTCTGAGAGTCAATAAACTAAGATAGCGTTTAAAAAGAGGGCATCACGAAACCGCATTTTCAGTGTCTTCCAACAAAACCGCTCCGTTGAGACCAGCACAAATTGAAGAAGCTAGCTAAATCTTTAGTCTAAACTCTAACTGGAGTCTGGAGAGAAACCACTCTGCCATTAAGTGATTAGATCAACGAATATATACCTGGTAATATACACAAACATATATATCCCCAAAACATTAACGTACCTTGGATTGTTGGAGTTCATTACCCTGATTCGTTCGTTATTAACCTATGTAAGGAAAAAAAAGTCAATAGTGACGAGAATAGTCAACCTACCTCTGTGTAATCCATACAATAATATATTAATCTGAAAGGCACGAAGTGGACTAATTAGTCTGCCTTAACAAAATAGTTATAAAAACAACAGAATGCTTATTTCATAGTCCAAAAGCCTCGATTCCAAGTTCAATTCCTTTCCAGCACCTTGCTACTCAGGGTCTCTCGTTCAGGCGCCTCACGTGACTCCCAAGACCTAAAAGAGGAAAGAGCCTAATAACGACATTGTACAGTTACCTGATCTGAATTCTGCTGCCCATCGAACTCCTTATCAAGGCGAACTCTGGAGAAAAACAAAGATGTAATTATGATAACAATGGCTGCTTGACAAAACAAGCGGCGTGGGCGCTGAATCACTGCTTGCAGTCCCAGTTGGCAGTATATATAATCGCTATCAGCCCCGCCAATGCAAACTTACTTATATTCTCGGATCCATTCTTTCCATAACTTTCTGTCGTTTTCCTCTTTTTCTTCTTGAGTTAACATCTGAGAAAAGTCAATTCAGTTAGTTAAGCCCCCTTCGAGACTATAATAGAAGAACTTGTTATTTTTTTTTAAAGTCAGCCCAGTGTAATTTGTTTAGTGTTCCCTGTTGTATGATGACAATGTCAATCATGGGAAAATGTGCAAATCCTTAGTATTAGACATACACCACAGGGCACCCACTAGTATTGCATTACACTCCCAACATTTTCCCTCCTGGATGGCTTGCTATTCCACTGCAGGTTCTCTCAAACTTATTTCTCCGTTATCCAGTTTTTTTTTGTACCAAAACAAAGCAAAAGAAAGCAAACATCTACCCTGCCGGAAGCCGGGGATCACATGAGTGGGGTGGGGACTACTAACATTCGCCATTTTTGGCTGTATAAAAGAGACTTACAAACACAATGTTTTGAATGTAGAACCTCAGAATTAAATCAAAGACTTTTAAGTGTGAAATGCTTACACGTCCCAAAGAATACGTATTAAGGACCAACCTTAAGTTTCCGCACTTTTTCCTTGCGTTCTTGGTCATCTTTTCGATGCTTTTCAGCTTCCATTTGTAACTGAGATATCACATTTGGACTTGACTGCCAAACCTCACGAGACATTTCCATCAGTTGACTGAAAATCAATACAACGAACAAGTTAGTAAGAGGGAGAGTGAGTGGCTTTCAATTGCGTGTGGAACGTTTTTTCGTTTTGGCTTTCGGACGCTATTTTTGCTTTACTGAATGACTACCTTTCTCAACCAATCAGAAACAACGGACCCAGCGAGTGTTTATCAGAGCGAAAACGTTAGCTTGTTCCAGGCGTTCAGATAGTAGATCGCGGTTGAAAAATTGACGAGGAAAAAACAACCGAGGGGAGACTAGTCCTAGTCTCTCCTCGATTTTCCCCTAGTTTTCCCCGCGTAGGTTTTTACTCGGCGCTCCTTAACGCCTGGAACAGGCTACGAAAGCGTCCACTCTCGAATCCCTTTGCAGTAGCTCATTCATCAATTATTCAAAAATCAAAATTTAAAACAAAAATTAACAAAATTTTTTATCCTATTCAAAAATTATACTTGCAAGTTTCAGACGCTGCGTTTTTTCCCGGAAAATTAAAAGCACTGAGAACTGCATGTTGGCTGCTCAGACTTCTCACCTGATGTGTGACGTGGTTGAGGCTTGATTTTGATGGGCTCACAAACGCCTCGACAAAACAAATCATTCGCCAATACTTAAACCATCGCTTTATTCATGATATTGTTAAGGACTATAAAAAGACTGACCTCCATTCTACAAAGTTTGATGTGGTTTTTATCATCCCTTGAAGTGAGACGCACTGAGATACCAAATATTCTACCACGTCTTCATCACTAAGAAAAAGGACGAGAACTACATTGAAAATGAACTGTTAACAAGATCACTACAACAGTAATGATGTCAAGGTACAATTAAACAGGATCTAACAACGCTGGTCCAACACTGATCAAACATTGTTGCATAGAGGTGAAATTGTTTCAATCCTGATCCAACACCAAAAACATTCAACACCTTCCCACATCATCGAACACCAATTAAAAAGGTCCAACGGTGTTAGATGAAGTTGGAGCAGTCATATGTTCCATAAATCTATATTTTTCTAACAAAACGATGATTTGAGCCTAACAACAATCAATCCATCACCCAAAATGCCATTGTTTTTCGTGATATGTACTTTCAGTCATTAAATCTGCGACTATAAAAAGCTAGAATTAATTTCCAAACTGACAAGGCTGTTTTCTACGCGAAAGTGGACAACAGACTTCTTTGTTTAAGGACTGAAATATGAAACACTTCCGGTTGGTTGTAGGAGATAGCGCTCCCGGGAAAACTTGCATGATAATTCACAGACAGAAAAATTAGACTGCAAAAGGAAAAACAAACACGGAGGAAAGGAAAAGCTCTAACCCGCTTTCTGTTGAAGTGCAACTTGATGGTGATACTCGGCAAAGACATCTGAAGGTGTTTGTGAAGTCTGCCCCGGTTTGTTCCATGGTATCAAAAAGAGATGTGATAACATTCCTAAGAACAAGATGCTTATTACTTTAACTAAAACAAGAAATGTATGTCTTTCTTTCTCATCGGCAGTAAGTCAAGTCTGGGTAAAAATTGCAAAATTGTTTCAAACTAACAAAGACTACGTGAAGCGTTTTAAACTACTGATTAGGCTTAATACAGGCTGCCTAAGCCCGTGTAAGAAGATGCTTGAAAAGGATGGGAGAAAAAAAACAAGTCAGGTGCCCTACACGCCCTCGCACGCTCGATTCTCCACCTTCCTCCTTCCCTTTGGTAAATAGTAAATGTCTTGTTTACCGTGGAATTGCATTAGCTGAACCCCAATCGTCACTCCGTCAGGAGGAAACCTTCTGGCTACCGACATGTACAAGCGCCGCCGAGGAATGGTCCAGTTCTTGCCATCTCGCCAGAACTGGACAAGGCTCAGAATTACCAACAGACAAATCCAGCTAGTGGTCAGAGCGGTACAGCAAGTCTAAACACTCGGCCATACTGCCCCCTGCTCCCGGTCCCCAGTCCCCGGCCCTTCCCTTCTCATTCGAGGGTCAGGGTGGGAATATGTGCCTATGTTTCAGTGATTATAAATAAAACAATCGGCGGGAATTCAGTTGAAATGTTGTCTTCTTCACAGAGATCGCTTCGGTGGCTTTTCGATAAAGATTCCCATTTACTTACTTGTCCGTTGGGAGTTCTTTCTTTACCAGGCCCAGCTGAAATTACAATAAAATGTGATAATGTCAACTGTTCCTGGACATATGAATCAAATAAATCATTCAAATAAGAAACTACTACGACTCACTTTCAACCTCATCTTTGCAAGGAAACAGTTCTCAAACTCCACATGGAATCTGAAATAAAATCAGAATATCTATAGAAACTGGTCCTCTCACTAGCAGGTTCTCTCGAGATAAAGCGAAGGGAGAATACGCGTCTCAAGTCAAGAGCTTGCCTACTCTCTGACCGTCGCACGTACTTCTGCAGCCTTGACGAGTCTATTTGCAGATCTTTGTGCTGAAGACGCAGCAAACCGTCCGTATTTAATTTGCCAGTGCCTGTGTTTGTCAAAATAAAAAAGAAAGCTTGGATGCGTAAACAAAACGAAGAACATTCCGTATTCTCCTTATTGGTGTCTCATGGTCTCGTTCTTTTGTTACCATTTCGGTTTTTCATAAGTCGGCAAAATCTTGGAAACGGGAACCTTGTCCTTCTACTCATTTACTGACATCAAATTAAAAACGCGCTATTTCAAGTACAAGTTTGTCAATTTATCGGTCAAAGCTTAACTTTTTCTTTCGTTTTTTTTTTTTATTCCCTTTCACTATTAGCTTATCCAAAAACAAAAGGAATTAAAACCAAATTTGTACCAAGGATAAAATTAAACCACATCATACTGTATGTACCGATATACCTACAGTTCTTCTAAAGAAGAGATGGATTCTTGTAGAGGCACTGCATCTTGAATGGCTTCCGCTAACTTCAGCAAATTCCACTTGAACAGCTCGGGTTGGTTCTTGAATGAATTCCTTCGTCTAGCGTCTAAAACCAGCGCAATAGTTTTTTAAAGTGAAAAATAAACGATTCTGTTCTCAGTACACAACTGACTAATATTAAATGGACAGGAAATACGCGAGTTGATATGCCATTAGTCAAATGTTAACCAGAATACTGACAGGTCTAGTAGTACCCATTGAAATAATGAACTACTGAAAGTTCAAGAGTTTTTAACCAAGTGATCAGTAAAACAAAAGGAAAATAGAAACAAAGTAGAAATGAGAAAAAAGAAAATACTTCCAAATGAGAGCAAAAGATTGGTGAAAATTTTCTTTCATTTATTTCATAGTGTCAAAACAAATAAAAACAACTTGACCCGCATGTTAGTGGATATTGACTGCAGTTAACTTGGTACTCACCCGATGACTGACTGAGATAATTAGGATCATAATAATCCAGAAATCCGTACGGCCCATAATCAATTGTGACACCAACGATACTCATGTTATCAGAATTAACAACCCTGCAAGGACATAAGAGAACACACGTGACTATGGTGTGTTTTGTTCGCATTGGTTTCATTACCTCAATTCTCACACACAGCAGAACTAGTTCCTTTGGTAGAGAGCTGGTCTGCAGAGCAGAAGGTCACGGGGCTGGGCTAACACTCGTCACACTACGCGTCTTAAAATAACTGTGCTACGCAGAAAAGTACTGCCTTTGCTAGCAAACGACTAAAACTCCACGCCGCTTAATAATAATAATAATCTTTATTGAGATGACTTTTTCACATAAAATATGGTTTTCAAAAAGGATCTCATAAAATTTAAAAAATAAATAAAAATAAAAAATACACACAATTCACAAAGACATTAAAAATCTAAAATATGTAAAAAGTATTAAAATGTACAAGATATTAACTCAAATTCATTTAAATTACAAATTACAAAAGATTACGTTTAAAAATTTTTAGATTCACGGATCGTCTGATTGCCTGGCTAAGGGAGTTAGAAGTTTGAGATGCAGCTTAGTTCTGGTATAATTATAATTATGTTGTTCTTGCTGTCTTATGAAGTTCATATCATGCTCAACAAGCATGGATGGCTAGTTTAAAATAGCGGTTCCATCTCCAGTAGGAGACCAAAAACAGTGTCCTCAATAATTACATAATTCGCACTTAACCCATTCGCTCCTGGAGATTTTGCCAAAAAAGGCGTTTTGAAGCTAGTCGAGTGGTTTTCTGGTCACTGTCGTGCTATAAAGAGCTAAAACTTACCACAAACCGGTTTACAGGTCGTACACTTCATGGCCTTCTGATCCAGATGCAAAATATCAGCTTGCGAAGTTCGGGCATGCGCAGAAAGCAAAATTTTGGGTTTAAAAGTGACACAGCAGTCTTGACTTTTACTTTTCGCTTTCTCTCCTCCCCTCTTTTTTCGCTTTTCTTGCCTCATTTTTTTTTTCTCTTGCTGGGCATTTAGTAGGCTTCATTTTGGTGGGATTAGTTTTTAGGAAAGCTTTTAGGATCTTAGGATTAGGTGAAAGGAAAGGTAGGTGAGCAATGAAACAAGATTTTCATGGAGATTTTCAGGTCAATGTTACATGGTTTTTTGCCTCTTTCTCCGGTGTCCTTGACTGAATTGTGCTCATTCTGGTATGGTTTGAAAGATCTCTTCACGCTGCACAAGTTAGCGGAAAAAGTTGTCCTTGACCGTTAAAACTGATGACGTCACAAAGGGTAGAAAGGACGTGGATCCGCACGGGCGGTTACGGGCGGTTCAGGGGCGAATGGGTTAATGTATTGGCAGTTGAATAAAGTTTGTTTTTCCCTGTCATATTAACTTCCGGGAACTTTTCTTGCCAACAGGGTATTTAGGACCTTCCCAAACCACGACGGCGGCGGCAAAGGGAAAAACAATACGTTTGGTGAGCAAACAGCCGCCTCTCAGTTGTTCTGTCCTGTTGGGAAGTCAATTAAAAGGCATCTTAACTGCCCCGATAAACTCTCCCCACGGGTCACTTGAAATCGAAGGTTGTACAAAATCACTTCGATTTGTTTCTTCGACGTTTTGTTCTAAAGATTTACGTCAGTGTGTTTTATTCATGAAAATACTTTCATTGTTGAGAAAATAACATCTCACATGGGCCGGTTTCTAAATTTAGCAAACTGAATACCTGATTAATAAGGGCGGTTTCGCAATACAGAAACAAGTAACTAATAACGCGGATAAAATCAAACGACGTTTCGGTATCACCGTGACGCCATTTTCAAGTTCATAAAGTGCCTGGTAGATTAACTTTAATTGCATATTTTATATTATGCCGTTAATCTTAACAGCAAATAATTATGACGGTTTATCTACCAGAAAACCTTTTGAACTTGAAAATGGCGTTAATTTTTAACTTAATATTAGCCTGACTAAGTTTCAGCTGCCTCCTCCGCTGGCAAAATCTCTCAATCTAAGTGAAATATCCGAGGAAGCATTGCGTAAGTAATCCACTTCCTTACCCATGGCAGAAGCCAACACATTGCCAATCAGCTGCCAGACGTGCTGTTAAAAGAACCACCTCCTTATAAAAAGAAAGGTAGCGTTCTTCCAAACTGTTATAATCTTTACAAGAAACCTGAATTAAAACGAAAAACAATAAAACAAATAAGTAACAAATCAGAAGTTCACTTAGGTCCACACTGTGAAAGAGGATACCAATACTAAATCTAAGAATGGATCTTTGGTGTACATTTTGTAGGAGTGTCTGGTTTTCACTGAGTGAAGGAAAAAAAAAAGAAATACAGAAAAGAAAGCCACAGAGATAACCCAATGATAAAAGACTAGTTACTATTAATAGACCGAAACTAAGGCAAACAAACTGAAATTAACATTAGCGAATTCCTCACTTTTGTCTGACTTTTGTCATTAAAATGAGAAAAATGACAAAATTCAGACAAAAATTGCAAATTAGTCACTCCGACGTCATTCGCGCGCTACGCTATAATAATGATGACAATCAATGACTATAAGGACTTTGCAAGAATGGACTTCCAGAAAATTGTCACGGGACTAGGAAGGGGATGGTACATTACAAACATTGCTATAATTGGGGCAAGAATGCCTTGGGTTGATTTGTAATTGTAATACACATCTCTACAAAAAGAAACTGATACTGAAAATGAGGAAAAGAAAAACTGCACATTTAATGTGGCACTGCCTTAGAATAAAAAATTAGTTTTCAAAAGGGAATTTTATTATAGGGGAGTCCCATCTTGCAAAAAATGATCCAGCAATAATGCACCTGAGTGCAATATATAATGTAATCATGTAATAAATTGCAGAAAAATTTCGATTCGATTAAATCATATATTGATTTACTATTTAGTAAGTGCGGCCAACTGAAAATTTATGTGTAGTACACCATAAGTTCTCACTAATTATGAAGCTCAGCACCACAACATTTATGGACCAACCCAAAATTGTAGTTGTTTTAGTATTAAAAACAAGACATTTCTTAAAACAAAAGCAATAATTTACTTGTGGGAAGAAATTATCAATTGTATAGTTCAGCAGCTGATGCAGGATGTCCAGTTGTCCAGCACTTGGACCTTGGTAGCCAGTCAGTGGATCCACTGTCTTAAAAATCTCAAATGAACCAAACCTAAACCAAAATAAAATAATAAATGACCTCAAGAAAAAGAGCAATATATAGTGAAAGAGAAATAAAAAAAGAAAAAGGCGTCGTCGAGTTTACTGACTTTATGCAGAGACATCCAAATTGAAGAGTGCAAATATTTTCACTACCGCATGTCTAACAGTGAGCTAATCATTGTAACAAATAAAAATGAGACTGCCTCCTCGCACAGCATATTTTCGTAACAAAGACAGTGTTTAAGGATTGAGGTGAAAGGCAGGGTGTAACTGCACTTACAGTGCTCGTATGAGTCTAATGAAAGTACCAAGTATCATATTCCATCAAGTGAGGTAACCAATGACTACTTTGGATACATTCTATCATTTCTAAATGCACAGGTATCCTAATATGGTGCTGTGACAAGTTAAAATGACAATAAAAATAAATTCAGGCTGCACAGCTAGTGCTACCTCCCTACCTTAGGAAAGTTGGAGCAATCCTAAGAACCAGGGAAGCTCTTTCTTTGGAAGCAGTTCCAGTGTAATTTTTATCTCTGTTGACCATAGTGTCTGATGTCACACAACAACCAGCTAAAATAAAGCGACATAACTGAAAAATTCTGCTAATGTAAATCAATGATAACAAATCCTTCCCTTTGAACACCTCTCAACATATATTACAGCCATGATGATATATCTGCAAGAATTTCAATTTTATGAATGTAATTTACAGTTTTATCGTGCACTTCAGTATGAGTCACTATATGTTACATAAAGGAACCATTAAATGCCGAAAGACTACAACAGATAATTTTCATCAGGAGTTTGGGGCCACTGGAATACTTTATAACCAGTAAGTCTTGTATACATGCGCACATGGTATCATGGTGTTGATTGTAACTAAACAGGATGGTTACGTAAGCCCATGAAAAGTAATCAGCCCATGTGCTAAAAACTGATGATGAAAATTTACATTTCTGCCTCTTTTCTCTCAAGTACTATACTATCGTTATAGTGGAGCTCCAGGCATGCACGAGGCGTGCAAGAGCAGAGAAAGTAGCTTATGAAAAATTGGTTATCTATCCATGCAAGAAATATTGGTGGTCACATGACCATACATTCACCTGTCTGTCACAATTTCTGGCTAGTGTTGGAGCCTGCAACCTAATATTGAACATCCATGGTCTGGTCATGCAATAGCCCATGTTCGATATATTAAAATTCTAACATGACTCTGAGACTTTCTGGGAAATGCGAAATAACAGAGTCATGAAAAATATGCAATGTAAAGTCACAGAGTCATGTTAGAATTTTATTACATCGAATGTGGGCTATTGACAGCTGTCCAAACTAGGTATCTACTTACCAGTATCACATGACCATATCATGGGCTCAGGTGTTGACCCTTCAGGGTTATGTGTTTTTTTTAAGAAATCTGCTGACAAGTAGCTAGTTTTCATCTGATCTGAGGCTCAACTCCTAGTGCATTTCTTTTGCAATATGGTTATTGTTTGAAGTAAACTATCAGTTCATTAAGGGGAGCTTCACCTTTAACCTTTGCTAAATCTTTTATATATTATACAGGGTAAAATAGATTAATAATATTTGAACAACCGTAAGCCCCACCCCCTCTACACTTGATCAACCTCCACTGATAGCAAGATATTTGATAATTCTTATCACCACAAACATAAATCTTAAATATACAGTTTCAAACAGATGTTTAAAGAATTTTTACCTCTAGTTGTTGGTATTCCCAGATGATACATGGCCTGTCATTTGACAACATATAATCATAAAAAAAAACAAAATTAAGCTAAATTAAAGAAATTTAATTTTCAAATTCTTTCTCTCTGACAGCAAGGGACATTATTTTCATCACAGCAATTTAACAAAACAGATAAATAGGTCAAGTGGGCATCCACTCTCCATACCTCACTACACAAAAGTTCTCGAATAGAAGACCTTAATACTTTGCGTCCATCTCTGTGATTAGAGAACGGGGTCAGACCAGCTCCTTTCAGCTGAATCTCCCATCGTTCACCTTTGCTGTTGATCACTTCACCAAGATACCTGTAGAAAGGATAATAAAAGAACTTTGTTCCACAGGAAATGACTATAATGAACCTTAGCCATTTTCTTGCAGTTTCTCTAAGACAAACCTGTAATGATGTGACACGATTAAGACACTGGCTGGCATCCATTGGTGTTTGCTTGATACAAGTTTCACTAGGGGCGTAGCCAGCCCATAGACCTGCAGGCTATGGGCTACAAATTTCTGTTTTGATCACTCTACCCCTTGTAATAAATTATGCATTGTTGGGGTGAGCTAAAAAGCTTAAGAGCTCAAAGTGTTGGTGAGGTCAGTGCGTACTAGTCATGCATGCAATTTTCATGATATGTGGAAATGAAAGTCAGCCAGGCCTACAACTAGTCAAAAAGCTGCCTACACCCCTGGTCACTACATAACAGTATACTTAATTAACCCATGCATTCAAACCATCTTTAACAAATCACTAGAATACTTGAGAAATCAAACACCAAGAAACACTTATTTTAATACGAGCATCTTTTCCCAATCATATACAGTTATCAAGCCCTGAATTAGCCTTCTACATAGTCCTTCTTTGTTCGTCATGTGTTCCTGCCCCATTTTACGGTGAACAACAAACGCAGACTGTAGACTGGCAGGGAAAGGAGGTAAACAGCTTTAACAGACTCCCTATCTCTAAACTCCAGTTTAGTTTAGGGATAGGGAATGTGTTAGAGCATATCACAACAATGTTTACCTCCTTTACCTGCCAGTCGGCAAGTCTGCCGTCTGTGTTTGTCGCAGACAGCCAAATTATATGGTGGGTAATGGGTTGTATGTTGAATAGGGGTTCTCTAATCTTGCTGAAAGCCAGGTCCACATAGGGTAGGGTAAGTCAGTTAAGGGGTAAAAATGTCTATCATCATTTATAGGGGTTAATGATTTACAGAATCCCCATGGTAACTAAAGAAGTTGAAAAATCATAGGCAGCTTACATAGCAGCCCCATCTCCCAGTTGTCCAGAGAAATATCCAGCCTGGTGCCCGCAATAGCAATGGGCTGCGGTTTTAGAGCCAAGCAGCAACCTATTTCCACTCATACACTGCACAAATTCAGGCCTGGAAACCTCTGATAGTGGTAAATCCAACAGAGACATGGCTGGAAGAGAACAAGCCACCAGACGAGGATTTGTGACTGGTGTTGGTTCAACAAGTGAGTAGCAAGCTCCCTTGACTTGCCTGATGACATTTTTGGTCTCCTTGTCGATTGGGAGGGAGCGAAGCGCCAAATTGTCGAATTTCAAAGTCTCTAGAGTTGCCATAAGTCCACGGCGCGACATGTATGTGACATATATTTCGTATAGAGAGCCCTTGGAAGAACGACCTAGGAGCCCCGAGGACCCAGCTGATGTTTTTGTCTCACTCGACGGTAATCTCGTAACCAGAGTCTTCTGGCTTTTTGGTCAGCGGGTCAACGCCAGGGAAGGGTAGGTACTTCATATATGATTATTATTATGTACCTAAACATAATTATTATATCTTACTATATATTATTATTATTACACTATAAACACCTATACCCCTATACAAAACCATATACCCCTATATACCCCATACAACACCATATACCCCTATATACCCCTATACAACACCATATACCCCTATATACCCCTATTACACACCATATACCCCTATACAACACTATATGCCCCTATATACCCCTATACAACACCATATACCCCTATATACCCCTATTACACACCATATACCCCTATACAACACTATATGCCCCTATATACCCCTATACAACACCATATACCCCTTTATATACCCCTATTACACACCATATACCCCTATACAACACTATATGCCCCTTATATACCCTTTATACAATACCATATATCCCTTTATATACCCTATACAACATTATATACCCCTTTATATACCCTTTATACAACGCCATATACCCCATACAACACCATATACCCCTATATACCCCATACAACACCATATACCCCTATATACCCCTATACAACACCATATACCCCTATACAACACCATATACCCATATACAACACCATATACCCCCATACATCACCATACACCCCTTTACATCGCCATATACCCCTATACAACACCATATACCCATATACAACACCATATACCCCTATATAACACCATACACCCCTATACATTGCCATATACCCATATACAACACCATATACCCCCATACATCACCATACACCCCTTTACATCGCCATATACCCCTATACAACACCGTATACCCATATACAACACCATATACCCCTATACATCACCATACACCCCTATACATCACCATACACCCCTGTACATCGCCATATATATACCCCTATACAACACCATATACCCATATACAACACCATGTACTCCTATACATCACCATACACCCCAGCACATCACCATATATCCCTATACATCACCATACACCCCTATACATCACCACACACCCCTATACATCGCCATATACCCCTATACAACACTATATACCCCTATACAACACCATATACCCATATACAACACCATGTACTCCTATACATCACCATACACCCCAGCACATCACCATACATCCCTATACATCACCATATATCACAACACCATATACTCCTATACATCACCATACACCCCTATACATCACCATACACCCCTGTACATCGCCATATACCCCTATACAACACCATATACCCATATACAACACCATGTACTCCTATACATCACCATACACCCCAGCACATCACCATATACCCATATACAACACCATATACTCCTATACATCACCATACACCCCTATACATCACCATACACCCCTGTACATCGCCATATACCCCTATACAACACCATATACCCATATACAACACCATGTACTCCTATACATCACCATACACCCCAGCACATCACCATATACCCATATACAACACCATACACCCCCATAAATCACCATACACCCCTTTACATCGCCATATACCCCTATACAACACTATATACTCATATACATCCCCATACACCCCTATACATTCCCATACACCCCTATACATCACCATACACCCCTATACAACACCATACATCCCTATACATCCTCATACGCCCAATATATTCCCATTCACCCCTATATATCACCATACACCCCTATACAACACCATACATCCCTATACATCCCCATACACCCCTCTACGTCCCCATACACCCCTATAAATTCCCATACGCGTCTTTAAACATCACCATACAACCCTATATAGTACTTTTATGTGTGTCATTGTCCCATTTTATTTCTAGATGCCTTACATTCAGCAAAGCATATATAGCATTAATTCTTGTCAAAGCTCGCCACTAGTGGTGTGCCTGCATAGCATGGTTGCCCCCGTGGTGGTATAGCTGTCTGCAAAAAGTCCTTTAATTGCTTAAGTTCCAAAAAGATGGTGGCTTAAAAAGCTCAATCTAACATCACGTCGCAGTCACGCAACGGCAAAGTAAAGTCGTAGTGTTTTGCTAATCCAAGCATATTCTTATTGTTTTGGGGGCATTCTCGTTGGCTTTGTTTTCGTCGTTTCTTGGTTCGAAGAGTAAGCCGGCCGACTTGTGCCGTTATGGGACTGGGGGGTGGAGGGGGGGAGGGGGCGGTGAGATTAAACATGGAATGAAGCGAGTGCAAATGCGTCTGATTTCCGCAGTTCCTCCGCAATTCGGCTACTAGTTCCAAGGTCAGTAGAGAAAACATTATTTATTTAATTCATCTATTCATTTATTTTCATTATTGGTATATGACCTTCAAATTTCAAGTTCATCAATAAAAAACGATATTGAATTATTATATGTACTGGATGGAGATACCATACTCTGTTGAGCTTTTCACTGAAAATCTAATTCACAAATAGCAGATAGGTATATTTGCTAAATACATTGCAATTATTGTCGGTAACTAAAATTTATTTAGTATATATCCACTCAGGCTTGGTGTTTTTGGGCAGTCTGATTGGTTGATAGTTATCTCCTAGGCCAAGCTCTTTCACAGTATATAATCAACAAAAGCATAAATAAACTTCAGACATTCATTAATAATTCATTAAAAACAAAACAAAACAAAGAAATTTTTGTTTGTAAAATGAGTGTCTTTATGTCTGATAAAAAAAAAAAGGCTAACCTTTACGTTCAATTGTTAGGCCATAATAACCACAAATCTAAATATATTTGTGCAAAAATGAGTTCATCTATAAAATTAGCGGAGAATTTGAAGCCATTCAAAGCAACTCGCAATTCGCAATTGTGTATTACCAGGTGTAAAACCTCTCGGCTTCACAAATTTTTTAAACCTGATTATACACTCATGCACATTTTTTTAAACATGCAGTGCACCTTTCCCTCAATTCGCCTATGATCTCTGACCCGAGGTTAAATTTGTAACCCTGTTCCTTTTCCTTGTTCAAAAGCTCAACAATGACTATGTTCTGACAAATGTGCGATTTTTGCCGCTACTTGAGCTGTACTTTTTCGTTCAATCGTTAAAGACATTTCCTTAACCTTGTCCGATTCTGCAACAAAGTTGTACAGCGTTGAAAAGTTTGATGAATTTCTTGGAAGCTCTCTAATGAAGAGAATTTCTTTACAAACTACTAGACACAATGTTTCTAGCAGTCTCTAAGGTCCCGAGGTCACTGGAGCTTTCTGTCTTTCCATAAACTCTTTTCCTCGTTGTCTCTTGTAGGTTGAAATGGTAGCTCTCCTTCTCTTTCTTCCTGTGCCTGGTGAAGCGGAAACACCGCCAATTTGAAAGATATTTCCACAGTTGTAACATTTGCATGACTCGGTACACCCGAGTCCTTCGGCAACGCATGGACATTTTGTTTTTCTTTTTCCATCTCTGCACGATACACGACCTTTATCTTCTTTGTTTAAGGTATTACCACATGTACATCCGCGTTTGCGTTTGCGTGTTTCGCCTAATTGCCTCTCTCCCTCAAAGGCAGCATTATTTTTGTTCTTACAATTGAAGCAGCGACATTTTCTTGAGCACGCTTGACTTTTTCTGTTACAAGGACCGTTTAGAAGATGTGCAAGCCATTTTGGAAGGGTCTTTAACATTCTTGCCACAGGTACATCTGGTTTTAGTGTCATTTCCTTCCGTTTCATCATTCGAATTCAGAAATTCTGGAAACATACCAGAGAAAAAATACAGTGTAAGTAAAACCTCTCAAAGGAATGGTAACCCTCGTTGTTATCATCATCATCATCATCATCATCATGATTAATTATTATCATTACAATTATTATTATCCTATGGACTAGTTCATTTTTAAGATATCCACGTTTCAAATGATAGATACTCGTTTTTTTCTTCATCTGTAAATAAGAGAGTATCTTCTTTGATATTTATGATTGAGTGATTGCCAATCCAATAGGTAGTAACGAGTTCGGAGAGCATGGGATGGCGCAGTAGCTCGCAGTAGTAAAAGCGCTCGCCTCCCACCAGTGTGGCCCGGTTTTAAATCCCGGCGTCGACGCCATATGTGGTTGAGTTTGTTGTTCTTCCTCTCCTTTGCTCCGAGAGTTTTTTTTTTGCCGGTAGCATTTCCAAATCCCAATTCGATCAGGAATCAGGTAGAAGAAGAACCACTTTGTGGATGTGCTACCTCTAAATCGTTATTTATTTCTTTATATATTTATTTGCTTATTTAGAAGACCTTTATAAACACACACGGGCAGGAAAACGTACAAATGCCAATAACAAAATCATCCAAGCAAACGTGCTACACTTAAACTAGGCTTAAGACGGAATCCATCGGGAAATTGAGTAATTTTGATTTTCAGTGAACAAAAACCTTGTACCAGAACAATTTAAATAATATCGCATTCTTTTTCACATATTTCAAGGGCTATGGATATATAAACAGTTATCTGTAATGACACCAAAGACTATTTCTGATGGGAGCCCGAGAAAATAAATGTCAAATTTCACGAGAACTGTGAAAACACAGGTAAAGTTCTGAAAATTTCACGTGTAAGGTGTCATTTTGTGAAATTTGACATTTATTTTCTCTGGCTCTCATGAGACATTTTCTTTTCACATTCTTTGGTGTTACAGATAACTAATTACATCCATAGCCCTTGAAAATATAAAAAAAGAATGCGATGTTGTTTGAATTATTCTGGTATTTTTGTACAATGAAAATTTAAATTACTCAATTTCCTGGTGGATTCCGTCTTAATGCCTTATGCATGCTTATTTACCTTTTGTAGCGTCATAATGCCCTGGACCTGAATGGTCGTACGCCAGATACGTAGGTACAGCAGTGATGAAATGTTTTGGTAAAAATGGAATGGATGGGACATTAGGCAAAGCTGTAATTACAATTATCGGGACACGGAGGAGATTAGCACATGCCTTAGTACAGATGTCGCCAATGTCACTTGCGAAATGGCCATCAGTTTTAAAACGTTCAATTTCCCGTACATTTGACGAACAGGACATCCACTCCCTGTATTCATCGAGATTTTCAGTGACTTCACGCACGAAAAGTAGTCTGAGGTTTTCCGTGTCACGTTCCTCGTTGATTCCAATCCCCAGTGAGGAAATATGCTGTAGATTTTGCAAATCCGAACGTTGCAAGTGTTTTTTTAGCTGCCGGGCTGTTGCTCTGAAGAAGCAGTTTCCGTCTTTGTTAATTGGGTCCAACTGAAGATTAAATCCTGTGAGATTTCTTAACAGGTTATCTTTGTGCTGTGGGGTCAAATTTAATTCCATAACGTTTAACTTTGACTCCTGTTCATAAAGGTTACCTGCCGGTAAGTTTATCTTCCAGAGAAGACCAATCAAATCTATTGTTTTGTTGTTACATTTTTTAGTCCAACTGGTGATAAATTCTTGTATGTGCAGCGCTCGTTCCAAAATGTAGTTCAAGACGGAATCGTTTTCCAGTTCTTCCACAGTCTTAACTGTGACGAAAACGGACGATGTCCCTGGCATTCTACTAGCCTTACTGCTATTTTCAGAGACAGTTCCAGATATTGAACCCGGTAATGACGTTGACGTAGAATCAACAGCCGTCATGTGAGACTGAAGATAAGGGGTCGCTTGGTTTAAAGACTCTAAAGGCTCTAATTCAATTGGCGTGATCGGAATTGTTCTCTTATTGAGGGTTGTTTTTAATCTTCGTTTGCAATTCCATGCATACAAAGCACACGCCATTACCGCTACCCCCAACTCAGGTCCAATTTTGGATACTCCGCACAGTAATGATCGGTTAAGATGTCTGTGAGGTCGCTCATTTATTTCAGTCCCACATCCAACAGGTATTTCCGAGAGACATCCTTTTTTTATATGCTTGCGCAAATTTTCAATTTGAAGAAGGGTTTCCGTTTTCAGCTTTTCTCTCCAAACAAATAGAAGACGTTCAAGATTTGATTCTATTTCATCAGGACAAGGTGTGCTCATTGTTCTCTCGTTACCAAGGTCTCCATTTTGACGGAAAATTAAAGAAAATTCATTAGCAAATTGTTTACTGTAATCTTCGCTTTTGGGTGCCGTTTGTACAACTCTCATACACGCGTGAAATAAGTCTAGCCGAACCTTTATCCCCGGGAATATTTGTCCATATAGGTGCATCACGTGGCAACAGTCATCCACTATTATCATTTTTAAGTTAGTGCTTGCCTTATATCAAGCCTCTCTTTGAGTTCTTTAAGTGAGTCGATAATTTCGGACGAAGAAGTCGTCTTCGTAAACTTCCATATCATAACTTCTCCGTTTTCGTTCACCCCCAAGAAGACGTTTTTAAACTGGCCTACAAACTTGCCGTCCTCGCGGGTTACCCCGATATGTTTACTCGTTCTAAAGGTGTGGTCACAGGACAGAATCTCCCCTGTGTGTTTCTGCATGTTATTCTCATAACGTTTTTTGTTCCGCTCAAACTGCATGAGAAACAAATCCATTAGTTTATCGTTGCTTGGATAGGCAATGAAAGGAATACTCTCAAACTCCTTTACAGATAACTCTTTGCTGTCCGGTTTATTACGCATGTACTGTCTGTAATTCATTGATGCAATGCCTTCAGATAATTCCATGAAGTTTTGTCCTTGATAAATACCAGTTATTAAATAATCATAAAGACGCAGCGTAAAACCGCTTCTCTGCTGCATTATAAGAGGAAATCCCTTAACAACACTTTCAGGGAGAGCGCCTAACACATCGTTTGATGCGGACAAATACCGATGTCCAATCATCACGGTTTCTGGCAAACTTTCACTGCATTCATAGAACGCCTGCACCAGAATAACATTTCCGTTGAAGTCGTAAATCAATCTTGGGTTTCTTGGACTTGTGTTGGAGGAGTCAGGAAGATCGGTCCACTGTCCGACTTTCAGAGGACAGCCATGAATAGGACATAAAATAGTCAAACCTTAATGTCTTATTGGACACCAGATAAATAATTTTGGTATTAATTTTGACATAGCGTGTGGCCCTTCAACAATTTGATCAAACCTTCCATTTTGCGCTGTACAATCAAACTCTCTTAAGACATCCCGCAGATATTGTCCTGCTTCTTTTCCAAGAAGAACACAGATGATTGTTTTAAATCCCAAAACAAAGAATAAGCAAGAAACAATGATTAAATTTCTCATTATGTCCCCTTGATGTCGAACATCTAACTGTCGCTGGGTGGCATCGATCTTGGTAATATACGGTTCAGCCGGGATCAAAGTGCTACTAAGCTTGTGCAATTTATTTCGCAACGTTTTACTTAGTTATATTACTCCACGAGCCATAGTTCATGTGACCTACCAAATTAAGCCGTTTAATGCATGTCCATGAAAGTCAGGAAGTACATTCAATATACCTTAGTAAAGTGTGAGCATTTTTTTTGTTCATTTTTGTTTTTGTTTGGCATCGCGGGTCGGGTATTATCCAATAAAAAGCTAAGAAAACTGGTACCCTTTTTAAGGCCCAAAGCCGAAAAATGACACCCTATTCAAGGAAAAAACAAACATGTGGCTTGAAGAGGCGTTACGTGTATTTACCCGCTTAACGTCTATTAAACCTCTGTTGCAAAATCAAAACCGTTCGTTTAGGCGCGCATTTTCCCACTCCAGTATTAGATAATGCAATTAACCTACCCTATCTAAGGACCACACCAGGGACACAGAAACAAAAGGGTCAAGAAAGATACCCTATTTAAGGACCGAGAACTTCAAAAACCATACTCTATTGCGCGGCACGTACCTATATAGCCCATATATGGGAGTACCCCAGGGAATAGATACTGTTATTCAAAACCCATACGTTAATCCTTCCAAGAACTTCGCGTACAGAGGTGTATGGTGATGTATAGGGGTGTATGGTTATGTGTGGAGTGTATGGTTATGTATAGGGGAGTATGGTGATGTATTGGGGTGTATGGTTATGTATGGAGGTGTATGGTGATGTATAGGGGTGTATGGTGATGTATAGTGGTGTATAGTGATGTATAGGAGTGTATGGGAATGTGTAGGGGAGTATGGTGATTTATAGGGGTGTATGGGGATGTATAGGAATATATGGTGTTGTATAGGGGTGTATGGTTACGTATGGAGCTGTATGGTGATGTATAGGGGTGTATGGTTGTGTATGGAGGTGTATGGTGATTTATAGGGGTGTATGGTGATGTATAGGGATGTATGGTGATGTATAGAGGTGTATGGTGATGTATAGGGATGTATGGTGATGTATAAGGGTGTATGGTTATGTATGGAGGTATATGGAGATGTATAGGGGTGTATGGTGATTTATAGGGGTGTATGGTGATGTATAGGGGTGTATGGTTATGTATGAGGGTGTATGGTGATGTATAGGGATGTATGGTGATATATAGAGGTGTATGGTGATGTATAGGGGTGTATGGTGATGTTTTGGGATGTATGGTGATGTGTAGGGATGTATAGTGATGTGTAGGGGTGTATGATGATGTATAGTAGTGTATCGGAATGTATAGAGATGTATGGTGATGTATAAGGGTGTATAGGGTGTATGGTTATGTATGGAGGTGTATGGTGATGTATAGGGGTGTATGGTGATGTATGGGGATGTATGGTGGTGTATAGTGGTGTATGGAGATGTATAGGAATATATGGTGTTGTATGTGGGTGTATGGTGCTGTATAGGGGTGTATGGTTATGTATGGGGGTGTATGGTGATATATAGCGGTGTATGGGGGTGTACGGTGAGGTATATGGATGTATGGTGATGTATAGGGGAGTATGGTGATGTATGGGGGTGTATCGTGATATCTAGGGATGTATGGTGATTTGTAGGGGTGTATGGTTATGTATGGGGATGTATGGTGATGTATAGGGCTGTATGGTGATGTATAGGAGTGTATGGTTATGTATGGGTGGTGTATGGTAATGTATAGGGGTGTATGGTGATGTATAGGGACGTATGGTGATGTGTAGGCGTGTATGGTGATGTATAGTAGTGTATGGGAATGTATAGGGATGTATGGTGATGAATAAGGGTGTATGGTTATGTATGGAGGTGAATGGTAATGTATAGGGATGTATGCTGATGTATAGGGGTGTATGGTGATGTATAGGGGTGTATGGTGATGTATAGGGGTGTATCGTAATGTATAGGGATGTATGGTGATGTATACGGGTGTATGGTGATGTATAGGGGTGTATGGTGATGTATAGGGATGTATGGTGATGTGTAGGGGTGTATGGTGATGTATAGTAGTGTATGGGAATGTATAGGGATGTATGGTGATGTATAAGGGTGTATGGTTATGTATGGAGGTGTATGGAGATGTATAGGGGTCTATGGTGATGTATAGGGGTATATAGGGGTATATGGTGTTGTTATATATTATATATATAGGGGTATATGGTGATGTATAGGGGTATATGGGGGGTATATGGTGTTATATATAGGGGTATATAGGGGCATATAGTGTTTGTATAGGGGTATATGGTGTTGTATAAAGGGTATATAAGGGGTATATGGTGTTGTATGGGGTATATAGGGGTATATAGTGTTGTATATAGGGTATATAAAGGGTATATAGTGTTGTATAGGGGATATAGGGTATATAATTATTTGTATAGGGGTATATAAGGGTATATAGTGATATATAAGGGGTATATAAGGACATATAGTGTTGTATAGGGGTATATATGGTGTAATAATAGGGGTATATAGGGGTATATGGTGTTGTATAAAGGGTATATAAGGGGTATATGGTGATGTATAGGGGTATATAGAGACATATAGTGTTGTATAGGGGTATATAATTGTGTAATAGGGTATATAGGGGTATATGGTGTTGTATAGGGGTATATAAATTATATATGGTGTTGTATAAATTATATAAAATTATATATATTTGTTATATAGGGGTATATAAAGGGTATATAATTGTTATATGGGGTATATAGGGGTATATAATTATTTATAAAGGTATATATAAGGGGTATATATAGTGTTGTATAGGGTATATAAAGGGTATATAATTGTTGTATAAAGGGGTATATAAGGGTATATAATTGTTGTATAGGGATATAAAGGGGTATATGGTGTTGTATAAAGGGGTATATAAGGGGTATATAGTGATGTATAAGGGTATATAAGGACATATAGTGTTGTATAGGGTATATAATTAATATATAATAATTATATATAAGGGTATAATATATATGGTGTTGTATAGGGGTATATAGGGTATATAGTGATGTATAGGGGTATATAGAGACATATAGTGTTGTATAAAGTATATAATTGTATAATAGGGGTATATATAAAGGTATATATGGTGTTGTATAGGGGTATATATAGGGGTATATGGTGTTGTATGGGGTATATAAGGTATATAGTGTTGTATAAAGGGTATATAAAGGGTATATAATTGTTGTATAGGGGTATATAAAGGGTATATAGTATTTGTATAAAGGGTATATAAAGGGTATATAGTGATGTATAAAGGGGTATATAAAGGACATATAGTGTTGTATAAGGGTATATAATTGTATAATAGGTATATATAGGGGTATATATGTGTTGTATAGGGGTATATAGGGGTATATGGTGCTGTATGGGGTATATAGGGGTATATGGTGTTGTATAGGGGTATATAGGGGTATATGGTGTTGTATGGGGTATATAGGGGTATATGGTGTTGTATGGGGTATATGGCGTTGTATAGGGGTATATAGGGGTATATGGTGTTGTATAGGGGTATATAGGGATATATGGTAATGTATAGGGGTATATAGGGGTATATAGGGGCATATAGTGTTGTATAGGGGTATATGGTGTGTAATAGGGGTATATAGGGGTATATGGTGTTGTATAGGGGTATAGGTGTTTATAGTGTAATAATAATAATATATAGTAAGATATAATAACTATGTTTAGGTACATAATAATAATCATATATGAAGTACCTACCCAGGGAAGACTCTGGGGACGACTGGGGACATCAATTAATTCGAAAATGTTTTTGATTGGTTATTTCTTTCCAAACTGAAGTTGACTACTACGTAAATTTCTGAGTTTTCATTCGCTGTTGTCCATGAGCAGAAGCTTGATTGGTTCCTGGTGGAAGGTAGTTTGCAATTGTAGATTGAAAATCGTTTACTAAACCGCTTGTCTGCTACACAGGCGTTTTTAGTGTCGGCAACGCTTCTCCCCATGAGGAGCGTTGCGCGACGACACTTAAAACGGCAGTGTAGCAGACTACTAAACTGCCAGTCTGGTCTTCAAAAGCCGACGTGTGAATGATGTATGTCATTTGAAATCAAGATGAACAAATTTAGCGCTAAATAACGTATATCAGCAAGAGAGAATGATTGAAGCTTTTCGCTCACTAATAAAGTGCTGGATGTCATCTGTCGTCGAATCACTCAATCAACAGCTGGTACAGAAAGCCAAAGAACTCAAGTTAACTCAAGTTACTTATCATTCTTGCCCCCGCAGGGATTTCGCCCGGAGGCGAAATCCCGAGGAGGCACCCTAGTAACTCGAGCGTATATTAAGGACAGTACTTACAGTTCAATTATACAGTCAGTATACTAGAAAAAATCTCGATTTGCTCGAACAGGGGCCGCGAGGAATCGGTAGGTAATGATGACGTTTCTATTGTTTGCGCCCGCAAGTACGAAATGGTTAGGATGACGTCAAACCCAAAAAATCCCGAAGGAACAGCTTACAATAGGCGGATTTTGTGACATTGTGCAGTCACACTTCGATACTCTTTTGCGTTACGTGTTATCAGTGACATTCTGTGGAAGCGTTGTTATGAAAGTTACGGACCAAAGACACTCGTTAAGCACAGATGAAGTTATAAGGTGCGTAGAACAGTGTATATTTTAACACTAAGTGAGTTTGCAAGACACGAGTTCACAAATCTTTGATTGGAAACCTTCAGCTGAACCTTGCCAGACACTCTTTCTCTCTCTTTGACCAGAATAAGACTCGGCCCAAAACAAGCAAGACGAGTGAATGATTCAACGGCTAGCTTATCACTAACAGAACGATGGACGATTACAGATATTCGCCTACCATCACATTCTGTGCTGACTTATTCCCTGCTCACAGATGTCCATCCGCTATAAAGTTTAAGACTAGAATGCTCAAGCGTGAATTGATCAAACGTCCTTTTATTTTCTAAGGCTTACTTTCTGGCAAATGAAATGAACTAAATGTAAAAAGTGAAATAGAAATAGCGAAAAATTAAACTTCTAATGAAATCTTTTCTTATAGTTTAGAATAAATTATTCTTGAAACTGAGAATGATTTTGTTTTGATCAAAGCTGTGTAAATCGAACCGGAAACTGTGCATGGAACCTCGCGTTTATTTCCTGTCTTTATCTCACTTATTGTATGGAATATGTGTGAGCATCTTCATTATGAATCGGTATATTTCAAAGAGCTACACAAGGAGCAAGAATACTATATACAGAGCGGGGGAAGCTGTAGTGTCAACTATTACTAGTTATTATTATTATTATTATTATTATTATCATTATCCAATCTCAAGCAGCATTTGTAAATTGCCTATATGTAGCGAGATTTACAATTGTACATTCAAAAGCAATTAATAAAGTTTCCATTATTAGTTGTAGTACCATAAGGAAGCTAAGCAAAGCGACATGAGTAGTTAAATAAGTAAGTATAAACGATAGAAAACATTATATACAGGTACATTAAAATATACCATATACTAGACATAGCTATCGTTAAGTGCCAAGGAGCAAAGATTTAAAACTATACGCGCGCGCTGTTCAATTTGTTTAGAAATGTCATGAATTACCATAATTTACGAAAAAACATTCTGAACTCAGTTCGATTGCATAAGCAAAAATTACGTTAAAAATAGTGAACTAAACTTTGTAAAAATTTTAAAAAAAATTGGCCGATTTATATTATGGGTTTTTATGTAAACGGTTTTCTCTCTATATAAACGTTTACCTTAAAGGTTCAAAGGGTTACATAAAAACCCATAAACGGCCATAACTTCGCCCGTGGACCACACAGGAGAGACGTAACACACATTTTAAGTAAGGTAAGCTGTTTTTAATTGAAATCCTTTCATTTTCGTAGGTTACAGAAACGATAGGTTTTTTCCCGATACAAATCCTTACATTTTGAATGTTACGCAACAATGCCGATGTTCGCCGATGCTCATATTTCGAGCTTGGGCTACCTGTGGTGTTGTACCCAGCTCTGGAGCTTCTCGTCAATGTAAGATCTTGGTGGAACGAAAAGCAGGTATATTCAAAAACAATGCACGGGCCCGCGGTAATTGGCCACAGCTGTTGCGGTGTCCCTGCCAACGTTCTTTCTGTTTGTCTCTTTGTTTGTTTGTTTTTTTTGGCAAAGCTAGTAAAAAAAAAACAAAATAAAAATAAAATAATTATATTACTACAAATTGGTGCGTCCACATTTCACTTTGGATCGAATAGACCTTATTCATGATACACACTATCGTTGCATTCGCCCAGCATGGACTGATGGACTGTTGGACTGCTCAAATCGTCGTCTCTTGCTTAGAGTATACAAAAATTCCACCGCAATTACTTGGCAATATTTGATCATTTTTTTGGCCCGTGAAATACCACGTGACATTGCGTTTATCCCATCAATCCTAGCTCGCGTGCAAAGAGGCGGGTATCGTGAATAAGGTATTACATTTAAGCTAGCAACTTTAATTAAATGTCAATGTTGTTTTGTGATCGGGCCACAACTTTGACATAAACGCCATCGCGCGGCTGCAAGATGGTTGCTGCACGGAATTCCAGTTTTTCAGTGGTATCTACTCTCTT